CAAAAGCAAGGAACACAGAGAAAGTTTATTTGGGCTGTAAATGGTCACTAGGAGTCCCCGTGAACAAATAAACTCCCGGGTTGGAGGTTCCAGAGTTTCACTGACACTTGTGAAAGGAGAGACTTGGAAAATGCACTTGTAAAAGAAAGGGAAGATGGGGGAGAATTGGGGGCAGGGAAAGCTGCAGCTCAGCAACACCAAGCCTGGAATTTATTTAAGGATAAAAGTTCAACAACACCTAGCCCAGGGTTTATTCAAGGATATGTGACCTTTGTGTAAAGTCATGTCTAAACCATATCTTGCATTTCCCAGTTCCTGGGCAGTTATGTGCTCCACCTGCATCCCACAGATACCTGTTATTTGGGAAGGAAACTTCCAGTGTGAGGGCCAAAGAACCCAGATGCAAACCCTTATCACAAAAGATTATAGAAAACTTAATGGCAAAGAATAATACAAATGGAGAACTGAGTAGCACTTAACTATTTGCATTTCCCTACAAACATAATATGTAAACTAAACATACAGTTGGATTTTAGTACTGATTTTTGCAGAAATCATCTAATTTAGAATATTTTTGTTTTAGGGGTATCCAAAATAGACCACAGAGTTCTCCTCTGTGAGCTGTAATTACACTCTTTTATTATTTATCATGCCCTGGCTGTATCTAATTTATTAGACAGTTGCTTGCTGAATATTTTATTTTATGTGCATTCCAAGCAAATAAAATCCCTCTTAAAACAAAGTTGAGTAAAAGGGCATTGTACATCAAAGTTGTGCTTTAAAACTATTTCTACTACATTGCACATAAAAGATTTGAAATGTAAATTTCAGAAAATTCTGTTTTATAACTCAGATTTAAGGTCATGCAGCTACACATGCAGGTTTGTCTGATGCATTCAGACCTCTCCTCCTTTGAACAGTCCCAGAATTTCAGATAAATTATGTATAAAGTCAGAGAAAGGCAGTCTTCCATCTGAGGTAACTACTTGCAAAGTCCAAGCTAAGTAGGTTTGAGACAAACTGGTTTTAAACCAGCATTTTACATGGCTGTTGTGCCAAAGGCAGTTAGCAGATGCCAGCAAAGAATTCTCCAAGTGGCTGGAAAGAAATCTTTCCAAATATCCACATGATGACTTTTAATTCCAAACACACCAAAGAGTCCCGTCTTGCTTGTAAACCTTTATTGTGCAACAAAGTATTACAGTATATTCTATTTATAAACTCATGGAAAACTTCTTTTATCTTGCTTCAGACTCCAATTTTTAGGACTGTACAGGTACTTTCCCAGTTTATTTTTAAAGCAGGGGCTGAACAGTCACATCCTTTTGAAATTTCTGCGCTTCTCACTTCCATTTTGGGTTTATATATAAATATATTATATAGAGATATAATATATATATATTTATATATAAATATAAACAAACTGGTTTATATTTGCATACTCTATGTATTTTATCTTAAAATAATATACTACAGGGCAGTTATACTCACAGGTATCCTTTCAGAAGGGAGAATGTCACTTGGCTGAAACGCCCCCAGGAACAGGATTCCACACCTAGAACTCTCAGTTCTAATGTCAGTACAAATAATTTGAAAAACATTTTGCATTTTATACAAGCCTAGTAGTATCTTGTATGTACATATTCCAACTGCTCAAGACGGAGTTTATGGAAAATCTTGGTCTAATCAAAGTTTCTCCTCTTAGTTCTCATCTCACATCCCCCTTTCTGGAATGGCCTTGAACAACCTCCAAAACATAGGAAATTTGTTGTTTTTATTCAGAGTAGGAGCCAAAGGTCTAGATTTACAAATTCCTCCTTAACTCAATACTGAGAAAGACCAAATCATCTGTACCAAGATTTAGCTGCTCTAATTCAATTACAGGACTGAATACTCACATGCCCAATTAATTTCTGCAGGCTTTTTGAAAAGCAGTGGATAAGAAATCTGATGCTTTTTGATTTGTCAACTTTATAAAACTGACAGACATGATTGGCTTTGTATCATTCAATCATTCAGTGGAGCAATTTTCTCTCTTTTTGAATTATTACAATTTTCTCTATTATTTTGTTTAAAAAAGGAATCATTCTTCCTTCACAATGAAGAGTATTTGATAACACGATTCAACTGCATTTCACATTTGGCACAAACTTCCCCTCTGGCTTTTGGAGATAACTTCATTCGACTGTGAGGGGTTTTTTTCTGTTGGAATATCAGAAAGTCTTCAGTAAGTAAAGGCATGTGTGCCAAGCACATCATTAACTGAACTGATTGAAGATCAGAAAAGTAAGTACTAGGTCTAATATGGCTTGGGTGCCACTAATGGGTACATTATAGATTGAAATATTTCATTTGTTCCATTAGTTGTTTTGTTGTTATCAATACCATAGGCAGTTGTATGAATATATTTACAAAACTAATTCAAACTCCATTAGCTTTTAAGGCACTGCTCAAATGAAAGCAGTCTCTTACAACAGCTGAAACAATTACAAGTGAAAATGAGAGACCATTTTGATGAATATGCATTCCAGCAGTAATCTTCTCCCAGACAAGATTTGTCTGTTTCTAAAAATAATTGTTAATAATACAGATGTATATTTAGGGGAGGTTTATTATTTTGTTCCATTCCTCTGTAAATATTGACATTTAAAACTTTAACTGCGTTTCCTCTTGTTAAAATAGACAGACTGCAAAAGAGAAAATACCATGTGCACTGAAATAATCATGAGTGTATTACTGTCACCAAAAGAGTAGTCTCTAAAGTAAGACTAAAAGAAAGTTGAAGACATAATAGAAATACACATAAAAAATGATATAGATAAATGTGATCAGCTGTAGCTTGGTAAAAAGAAGTGGATAAATTTTTCTTGTATGGCAAGATTTAAAAATATTAAAATAAATACATTTTTACGAAGTGCAAAATTTACCTGAGAGAGCCAGTGCTTGCTGCCCGACAGAAGTGAACTAACACCCAGGTGGCTTCAGAAAATACTGATATTTTACAATGGGAATCCCAACATTTAAAATAACTCTGGAGACACTTGCAGTACATTCAGCATGTGGTGTGTAAAAAGTACAACCTACCTGCAACCAGGGCTGGCAGACAGGCTGCTCATGGGGCAGACAAGGTGCTGACTGGCATCACTGAGGTGTTCTCAGGTTTAGTGGTTTATGTTTTGTAGGTGCCAATGGAAGAGCACAACATCTGTGTTGAAAATATGCTATTTTACTGTCAGCTCAGTGTTACTGCCATTCCCCAAGGATGAATGGGAAATGTTCATTAGGAGAGCAGAGATAGGACAGGAAACTAGACCTACCAATGAAATGTATGCTCTTAGATAACTGACCATAGTAATTGCTTCTGCAAAATGTGAGAGGACTTAAAGTAGTTTCTTGGTAATTTATTACCATTTCCCTGCCCTTACAATCCACCCTGCTCTTATTGCAGATCTTCAATAGTATTTTCTTAATGCTTCAATTACTGTAGATACATTTACTCAGCCATGATCTCAGTTTGCTTTAGAACTTTTCCAATTTGTTACAAAAGGAGAGCTCATTTAAATACTCAAGGTTGCCTACAACAAATGTGTCCTATACACTTAGGGATTTGCACTTCAGTGCTCACAGAAGCCTTTTCTTTGCTAGTGCATTTTTAAGGTCTCCTTTCTGTGTGAATTCTCTGGCTTTGCTAATACGTGAGCTCACACTGCAACGCTCTCTCTCTTCACTGGGGGCATACAGAGCTTCCCGTTTAGTGTAAGAAAGCTGAGAAACACAGTTATCTCCCAAACCGTTATTCTTTCACTGCGGTTGGCACAAAGTCAGCACGAGGGGAAACTCTGCCAAGCTCTTGCATCCCACAGAAGAGATTAAATCAAGTGCAGAGGCAAGACTGATGTGCCAAGCCGAGGAGAAAAAACCAAAAGGCCGTGGGATACCTGAATCCAGCATCACAATTATGATTTGGTGGATACCAAGACCAAACTTCCAGACAAACTGCTGTGATAGCAAGCCAGTTTGAGCAAGTTCAGGCAAGTGGCTGGGAGAAAGAAAGGAAGGAAGCAGCATTAAGAGATTAGGAATTGAGGAGTGTATTGCATGGCCAGCAGCAACAGGTGTGCTTTACTCACGTATCAAATGGGCAGGGCAGCTGTGAGTCACAGGTGCAGACACTTAGAGCATGGGCTTTTCTGGCAAGCAGATATTTTGGCAGGGTGTTGCCAGCAGCAGCTGATGAAGATATTCAGCGTTACTGTGGGAAAAGCACATGTACACAGCATAAGTCCTTTGTCCAGGCTGAGAAACAATGCCTATTTTTGTAGTATTAATACTGTTTTAAAAATATTTTTTAATTATGGCTGACTCATTTTGGAATGGTTTAGATTGCTACATGTCTCATAACAGCTGTGGCCATAAGTCTTTTTTATGAAGGTGAATGTGCTGACTCTCGTCTAAGAGTCAAAATATCCGCTCTTCTTTGCAACTCGGATTTGGGATGGAAAACTCCTTTCTTTTCACTTCATTTCTTCAGTAGCTGTGTGAAGTAAAGGAGTTTCTGAAGCCATAAACCCCTGAGGTTTACGCATGGAGCATTTCTATGCCTACGAGCTGGGGGGACACAGAGCTACCTGATCTCTCATGTTTTAGGACATCTACTTTTAACTGTGCTCATCTTTTTACACCAACTACCTTCACTCACTGCATTCCTAGTGCTTCCCTGCATTGATAAGATACTTTTATATCTAAATGTCTTCAGGTTAGTCTCCAAGAATTGTAACCCGAACTCACAAAAAACGCCCCTAGAATTTTCAGCTTCAGGGCCCAGAATTTCTCAAAATAAGGTCAAACTATTTTACATGTTAATATCCTCATTCCTGCTGAGTCACTCAGGGTTTGAACTTCAGTTATTTGCCTTGGCCTGTTTATGCGGAAAATTTATTGGGGTTTTGTTTGTTTATTATTTAATATAGACGAGCACCTGGACGGCGTTGCCACACTGTTGAAAACACTTCTGATTGAGACACATCGCCAGCACGCTTACCGGCTGTCACTGTGCGCCGGCCCCACGACTTTGTGATCTCGAACCCAAGTTTTTCCACGTTAAAGCGCTTCCCGAGGAGTTTCGAACGCGGCGCTCGGGAAGGCGGCACCGCTGAGGCGAATCCAGGTGGGACCGGGCTGCCGCCCCTCCTTCCCTGCCCGCCGGGGGACATGTGACAGCGACTTCTGCCTTCGGGCCGCCCAAGGGGAAGGGGAACGGGAAAGGGGCCACGGTTTGCCCGCTGCTCCGGCCGCCGCTGAGGCCGCGGCGCCGCCACAGGTGCAGCCCCGGAGGGCCAGCGCCGGCCCCCGCAGAGGTACGGACCGGGCGGGGCCGGGCAGGACACGACACGACAGGACGGGGCAGGGCAGGGCAGGATCAGCGCAGCCCCCCCGACCCCCGCCCAGCCGCTGGAGCCGCCCCGGCCGCGATGCAGCCCCCGGGCGGCCCGGCTATAAAGGGGCCGTAAAGGGCCGGGCCGGGCAGGGCGGCGCGGCACTGCGGTACCGGGCGGCCGGCGGGCGGATGCGGCAGCAGCAGGGAGCGGCGGCGGCGGCTGGAGGGAGCGGCTCCTCCCCCGGCTGCCTCCTCCGCTGGTGGCTCCGGGCAGCGTCTCTCTGGCCGGCGGCGGCCCGGCCCTGCGCCAGCATGGCTCTCCCCGGGGCGCCCGGTAAGTGCCGCGCCGGGCCGGGCCGGGCCGGGCCGTGGTGCCGGCCGTGACCTTGGGCCGGAGCCGTGCGGGGCTCCTGCGGCCGCAGCGCCCGCGGGCCCGGCCCCACCTGCCCGCGGCATCCGCTGGGATGCGGCGCTGCCCGCCGGGCATCGCGGGGCTCGCAGGCGGCTCCGGCTTTCGCGGCATGTGCTCGGTATACATTCAGGAGCTTTAAATGCCTGAGCGAGAATTGCTTTTCGAGTCATCATTCCATCTATTTTTAATTTTTTTTTTTTTTTAAGTGCAGCATGTTTCAAGAGAAACTGCTTTCTTTTCTTCCGCAAAGGTGCAGACCTAAAGAGCAACCAGCCTTTCTATTAAATCGCGATATTTAGGAGAAGAGCATTTACTGGGTGGCATTCATACCCTTCCCCATCCCATTAAAATGTCTAGTTGTTGCTCACCTTGGGCAAAGGACAGCAGTTCAATAGAAGGATACTGGATACAAGAGCCTCTTCCAATTCAGGATGGCACAGCTCGCACGAGTATTGCATGAGGTGCCTGATGGCTATTTTAGGTTTATTAGGCTCATTTCAATGCCATGAGCTAGCAGTGATGTGGGTGAACGTACATTTCAAACTGTTCTGTGCCTTAGTGTCTGATGCTTGAGTGGAGGCTGTGAGCTTGGGTTCTGTAAGAAAGAAAAAACTTTGGTGTCAGCAAAGGATTGTACTTACATGTATACTTACTGTCTCTTCACTATCTTATTGTAAGGATTTAAAATACAGCATGGTTTCTCATGCAGCGTGTTTCTTACTGCATTTCTGTTTCTGATCACAATTGTCTAGGAAAAAGTTCATTTAAACTCGGAAAATGCTCAGCATTACGTTACTATTTCACATTGTACTAGTATTGTTATTACTCTTACTGTAGTTAGGTATAAAGGGAGTTTTTCCCTGGCTGAAGTGGCCCAAAAGGCCCTTGCTGCTGCATGTGTGGCAGGCTCTGCTGCTGACAACTGTGCTCATTGAGGTCGGGGGACTGACTCCTGTGACTTTCTTGGGGGTTGAAACTGAGAAACCAAAGCTAATTTTGGATGCTACTTAGACATAGTAGTGCATTGTCATAGAATTATTCAGCTAAATATGCGTGTATTTTAAAATTTCTTCCGTAGTTATATTTGATTTTATGAAGACTTAATACTAACTGCAAAACAAATACTCCCCAGGCAGAAAACAGCACAGTCAGATCCACAGTTCCTTAAAATCAGAGATGCTTTTCTACTGGGATGTGAATGAGTTCTTGTAAAATAAGAATGCAAAGTAATGTAGGGGAACACTAAATTGCTGTATTATGGTCCAATTTAACTCTTGTCACCTTTTCATATTACATTTGCTTTTGGAATAAAAGCAAAAATGTTCTCAAATCAACTGTGAAAACAGGTGGACATTAATTAGAGTCTTTTAGGCTGAAAACAACAGGATCACATATCAAAAGGATCACATATCAACATGTGAAACCTGCAGCATGCCTACAGAAAAATTGTAATGGGAGCCCTGATAAGTTGTGTGTGGACAGATAAAAAACTGCCACGCTCCATGCTGACTTCCAGGGTATGTCGTTATTTAAATGAATGCTATCTCATAAAATACATTTGCATTTTTCTAACCAAGAAGGATTCTAAAATGCCAGTTTTGGACCCAGACTTTACATGCTGGCAGTGCTTGGATCTGTTTGCTGTGACATGCTTGCAGCTATTTTTAACTTATGTAATAAGAATTTAATCTTATTTGTTATAAACTCCATCATACTGAAGGCATTCAGAAAGCTTTATAGTACACAACAAATAATGCTGGTCAGTGGCTTATCAGCACTGTGTTTTTTCCCTCTGGAATGCTTCCAGTTATGCTAAAATGCACATTCTGGATTGTATGAAAATGGAATAAAAGTAAAGCCAGGAAACTACAGAAGAAACAATAAAGATGTCATTTTAGTAATGATGCTAGAACAAAACAGAAATATTTTGTGATGAAAGGCTAGCTACTTAAAAATTTGAAACATTAAACATATTCTTTTTGAGAAGTAATATTTAAATGCCAAGTAGAAATGGAAGTCCACAATCTGTTTCCCACATGCATTCAAAAATGTGATCTGAGCTACTACAAGTCGAAAGAAGTTAACTCAGTTGACTCTATCGTTGCTCCTGTTGTGCAACTATTTCACGTCCCAGCAGTTCTGTGACTTTGTGATTCGTGCAATGGATGGGGTGAGGTGGAAATGTACAACCTGCATTTCTAACTGGCCTGTTGGTTTGAAGTCCCTGAGCAAGGAAGGAGGCAAGCAACTGAATGTGATTTGCAGGTTCAGTGCAAGCACACACAGCTGAGTATCCACTGTATCACAAATACTTGTCTGACTGACTGTGCAAGTAAGTGGAATCTCCTGGTAAATCTCTACATAAACTGCTTAGGGATTTTTGTGGCTATACCAAGAGGTTCCTGATGCCCAAATTAACATGGCTCCAAGAGCAGAGCTGCTTTGTGTTCTTCTGTACTGCATGCAAGTTTAAATTCTGCAGAGCTCTTCTGCTTTGTTCTGATTTTTCTGCAAGCTCTGACTTTTTACAGGCATACCATGGAAACCCCCCCCAATGTCTGGCACATCTTCCCCCCTGCTGCAGCTCTAACTTTCCCAACTGTGCTGCTCCCCAGGCGAGATGCCCCGGCAGTTTCCCAAGCTCAACATTTCCGAGGTGGACGAGCACGTGCGGCTCCTGGCTGAGAAGGTGTTCGCCAAAGTCCTGCGAGAAGAAGACAGCAAAGATGCTTTGTCACTCTTCACCGTGCCTGAAGACTGCCCCATTGGGCAGAAGGAGGCCAAGGAGAGGGAGCTGCAGAAGGAGCTGGCAGAACAGCAGTCGGTGGAAACAGCTAAAAGGTATGTTCTGGAGTTGCTTTCCTAGTGGAAAATAGTTTTTGAAGTGAGTTTGAGTTCTGGCAAGCAGCATTCTGCCCTTTGCTGCTTGAGGAGAAAGGTGAGCAGCAGGTACCAGGGCCACCCCTGTGGTGTCCTTCTGTCCTGTGCCCGAGATAGGGGGATGGACCCCAGGGAGCTTGGGTTGGTCAGGTTGTCTCAGCTGTGTTCCCAGCAATAGCACAGATATTGCTTATGCAGAATTAATAAACAGCATAGCTGGGTAGAAATGAACAAAACCCCAAGAGTCTTTAATGTAAGAAGAGTCAGAAAAATAAACACTCCCCCCTCTTTTTCTAGTTTCATTAAAAGAAACAGAAAATTTTAACACAGAGAAAATAACAGTGGTGTGATACTTCCTTTAGTCTCTGCAAAAATAGATGAAAGCAAAGAATTTATATTTAAGATCAAGGGGTAAGGTGAAAAGTGGTATTGGCATAATGAGGTTATTTGTAGGTTTCCTTTTCTCACAGAGATAAAATCTAACCACTGTCAGCCATAAAAGTGCACATTAAAAAAAAAAATAAAATTGCCTTCTACCTTTGGTTTACCCGTGGCTGTAATGAAGGCAAACCTGCTTTGGTTTGTGATATATTTTTTCTGTAAGGGGCAGCATTCCCCTGATGTCAGGCTGTTCCAGTGTCTTGCCTTCACAGGACTGCTGGGCTGTTTCTGGAGTCACATGAGCTCAGCAGCAGCCTGACACCAAATGGGTTGGACGTGTACAGACTCTTCAAAAAGCAGGCAGACAGGAAAGGTTTTGAAAGTGATAGCTGAGCACATGTACCTGGTTAGCTGCAGAAAGGCAGTTGGGCAACACTTGGAATCATGTTTCTGGAGCAGAAGGGAGAAGAGTCAATTTAGTTAAATTAAGGTATGACTCACTGATGATACAAGCTGAGACTTTGGGTTTGGAATTGTGCAAGTGGATTTCCTAGTTGGCATGTTCATAGACATAAACAGGCACAGAAGGGAAAACCAGATGTTTCCAGCCAAACAAATGTTTGGTATATGCTTCCTCCTGAACCAGTGTGTTTCACTTCTAATTTAGAAAATTTGTCTCACAGAAACAAACTCAGGTTTTGTACAGGTTTAACTGCAGGAAGGGGTATTATAGGTATTTTGTTTACATGTGGGAACAGAACAAGTGTTCATCTCTATCCTGCAGGACTGAAGTATACTTCAGGGACAGTGGCACAAGTACAGCTTGTGCTATTTCCACTTGCAGTTGATCAAACACTGCCTTTCGAAACTGATGCTGATTTCTAAGGTGGCAGCAAGTGCTTTAGAGGATGAAATTTGGGTGTTAATTGTACAGCACTGCATGTTCTTACTCTTAAGAAAACCACAGAAGTAATATGCAGCTTTCAGAGAATGTTCCAGTGTTCCTTTTTCTTTGTTACTGATTCTGATGCTTTACTAACATTTTAAGGTTTTGGTACCTAACTTACAAAAGTAGGGACTATTTCCACAGTGCAAAAGAAATTTGTATCACAGGTAGTTTATAACATAGTATTTATATATTATATGAATATTTAAAGTACATTTAAGCACATTTAAACTGAGTGAGGAAAATTAATTCCATCTTCAGAGATATTCCAGACCTCCATTTGAGGTATTACAATTACTTCACTGGAAAACTCAGCATTCTTTTTTAGCTGGTTTATCTGAGGTGCACGTCTATGAGGGCTTTGATGAGCAAAGGGAACATTATAACATTTATGTGAGTTCCACCTGAAATGAGGAATGGACTCGTGTATCAAAGCCATGCTGTGATATCACTCTGATAACCAACACCAGCCTTCTGCTCAAGTCTCACTGCCCAAGGAATAACTAGGTGCTCCTCCTTTTCCTTACAAGTTGAACTGAATGACTGTATGTGAAATTTTGTTGCCCAGTCTTGTCTGACAACTAGATGAGTTTTAGGTCCTGCAAGTTTTGGGAAGGATGAGAGGTGTGTGTAACAGCATGGTGACTTAAAACAATTTCCATATGTGACATTGACTTGTTTCTGTCTGATCCTTCACAAATTCTGATGCTGTCAGTCTGTAAGAATCAACCCTTACTAAAGTGAGCACAGTGATCACGTTTTCTTTTTGACTTGCTGAAACTGAAGTTGTGAGAAGCCAAATAAAAACCTTAGGGCATCCTAGAGTGATTGTAAATAAATTATGGCATATTGGAGTCATGTAGAGGGTAAGTGCAATTGTGTGTAGTGTAGATCATGTGAAATGTCAATACAGAAAAGCTAAAAGCACAAGTACTCTCTGACCAGCATTTTTTCTGTGGTATGAGAGATTTCATTTGTGAAACTTCCTAGGGGGCGATTTCTTTGATGTAATCAGTTTTCCAATGTATTTAGTGTTTTATACCATGGCTTATTTTATGTTTTATACCATGAATTCGTAGGAAGAAAAGTTTCAAGATGATTAGATCCCAGTCTTTGTCATTACAAATTCCACCTCAGGAATGGAAAGCACCACCAGCCAATCCTGTCCTGTCTCCTGCCACGCCAGTTCTCCCAAGTGCTTTTGTGCCAGTCCAAGTGCCATATGATGTACCAGAATTCCAGAGAGTTTCAATTAGTGGGGACTACTGTGCAGGGGTAAGAAACTATTTTTTTCCCCACTTTCTGTATCTAGAGGGTGTAAAAAATTGCCATATATGTAAATGAAGTGTAAAATGCCAATATGATGGTTCTCTGCAGCAGACTCTAAATTGCTTTGTGAATAGTGATTTCTTAAACAGTTAGGAGTAAAGTTGTTTTATACTCTTTTTAATGATAGATTGGATAAAAACATAATCAGATGTTCACTAAATAGGTAATATATGGGAGGATAAAAACATTTGTGTGTGTTTTATATATGGTGTTTAGATTCTGATTCTGTCACTGGCTTCCTTACTCCTTGGGCAAGATCCTTATGGTCAAGCCCCGTACACTTTTGTTTCTGGAAATTCAGTCTCCTTGTTACTGGTGTGGATTTGGTTTGTTTTCCAGTATTTACCCAGGTTTCCCTTCCAGGTTACAGTTGATGATTATGAACAAGCTGCCAAGAGCCTGGTGAAAGCTCTTCTCATCCGAGAGAAGTACTCGCGTCTCGCCTACCATCGCTTCCCGAGAACAACATCTCAGTACCTGTGCAGCATGAGGGATCAGAAATGGAAGGTTGAAGATGAGGTGTGCCCAGGTGAATATCCTTTCTGAAATATTCAATTACATTCTAAGAAATTTAAACATTATTTTAAAATGCAGAATTAAACCCATGCACTACTGTAGTAAAGGGAAGTTGTGTTTTTGTGATGATCTCTTCTGACTGTCTTTGTAATTTATTCTGTTATTGAGTGGAGAATCGCTGATGGGCCTAAGTTATAAATCCTGTATCTAATTTGGAACTTTGAAGCTGTCAAAACCTAAAAACCAAGACTAGACTCTCATTGATTACTTTATTTCCTAAGCAAATGGATTGTTAAGTAGCATACTTGTGCTCTCTCAGGAAAAAGCTGTATGGCTGTGGTTTAAAGTGAAGTCATTCCTCCTCATCTTGGCACAGGGGACTAAAAGGGGTGATGAGCTCATCCACATCATAAATTGAAGCATGATACAGACATGCCACTTAGCAAGTCCTGAGTCAGGAATTTCACAGGCAGGCTGCACTTGCCAGGTGAAGACTAGAAGCTGTAGAGTCATATTTGTTGGGCATTCTGCCTGGGTAAATAAACTGATCTCTCAACAAGGCTTATTAGGTTGAACATATTCTCCCACTATGTGTGTCACAAATTATTTTTGTCTCTTGGGTGGGTTGTGTCTTGAAAGCTTTGCTTGTGCATTAAACTGTTTGCACTGCTCATTTCTGGATTAGTCTGTGAGGAGCAACCTTTGGTCTGTACAGATGGGCCACTGTAGATGTGTTTGTATTGCTGACAGCTTATTTTCAGCCTGGAAGTGACATTTTTAAATCAATTACTCTCTGGCTTAGTGGTTGAAAGAGGGTGACTAAATATGTTTTCAAGTGTTTGTTTTCCAGGAAGAGTGTAAAGAGGACAGTATACTGAATATTCAAGACAGGGAAGATATTTTGGAACAGCTGCCAGGGAGATATTTCCAAGCTATTATTAGGTTAATAACTTTCTTACAGCTACAATTTTAAACTTACAATAAAAAATGAAATCTCGTTACACAATGTCTTAATTAGCACAAGTTTGAGCTGGATAGTTATGAAGATTAGAGATAAGGATGGTATCAGTTTATAACATACATTCAGGTGCTCTAGGTGAATAAAAGGACTGGTAATTACTTTTCTGTCGTGGCTTAACTGAATGGGTAAAAGAAGAAATCTCTGATAAGACGGAGCCAAAGAATCTAGTTCAGTTGCCATAAATGCAGTCAGGACACTTTGTGCTGGTTGCTTTAGTAAGATATTGTAAAAGAAGTGATGGTTGTTCATAGCAGGAGTGACAATGTTTGAGTGTTCACATCAACTACAGCTCCAAGAAGTGTGTGTGATTACTTGATTCTTAGGAAAAACCTTTATAACTTTTTAAAGGCTTTACAAAATTGTACTGAACAAATCCCAACTGTGCCTCTGGTACTTTGTGATTTTGTTTATGATCAGAAAGCCAAGGGATAAACTGGATTTGTGTTGTACTATTTTTGGCTTCTATGCTTTTTGCTTCTATTTAAAAAAAAAGTTAGAAAAAATATTTTATTAAAAAAAAATCTCAGAACAAAACCATCACCACAGAAAACCACATAAACAAACCAACCCTCAAAAACTAAAAAACTCCAATCCAAACAAAACAAAACCAACTGATTCTATGCTTGAATACGAACTTCTGAAATTGCTACAGTGAGTCAGAAGGTGAAAAGAAAATAATGAAGGTGGGTATGAAGTCAACAATTATTTTATTGTTCAGAAATCTCAACTGTACTTCAAGCATCCTAATTTAAATACTTCTGCAAACTCATTTTCAAACTTACTCCAACACACATTAATAAAGAATAGTATTAAATCTGTATGCATTGGTTCAGAGAACTCTGATAACATACAACATTTGAATTAAGGTAGGCACTTAATTTAGAGAGGGGCTGCAACTAAAGCCTGTCAGAAAAACCAGCAGATCCTGTAACAGCAGATCTTTTATAGTAACTGAATGTGATTTTAATGAAAATACTGAGATCTGCCTTTTGTGTAAGTTATTTCTTCTAACTGTAATGTAAATTTGTTTTCAGATTTCCATTCACCCCCAGAAGAAAATGAAGATCCTTATAATCTCGATGATGCCCCAGACAATTTGGATTATGTTATCAAGCTGCAAGGTGGCATTCCCTTTGTTTATGATAACAAAGAGATGATGGAGCTCAATGAGCCCCGGAGTTTGCCATATCCTGACCTGCAGACCTACACCCTTGACCTGAGCCACGTCCTTGCTCTCATTGCAGATGGCCCAACGTATGTTCCTCTTGTTACCCTCTGCCCCCTCAGGCTGCTGCTTACTTGTGGCTTAGCACTTCTCACTTCTGTGATATTTAATTCCTCGGCATACCCATTCTATGGAAGTGTTTTGTTTTGCCTTTCTCAAGCATTAATGCATCGTGGAAAATCTTAAAAAGGAAAAAATACAATGCCACCTATGACTACCTTTAATTTCATTGGTTTCTTAGCAACAACCATGGCAAAAAAAGGGGTTAAGAGAAAAAATCAAGGAATTGGCCAAATGTTTACATTCAAGTCAGTTCTGATCCAAACTTAGAGAAGCATGGGAACTGAAGCTTGAGCCTCTTAAATTTTGTTTTGGCTGTTATGCTGAACCTGAGGTTTCTGAGCAGTTGTCTGAAATTCCTTCGTGTCTATTCTGCTCTGGTTGCATGAAGAGAAACCCTGTGCATGCAGAGTATATGGATCAGCTCAGCAACATAAATACTCAGTCTGATTTGTTCCAGATGTTAATTAACTGCTCATATGCTGCAAAACTGACCCATGTGTGCACAATCAAAATAAGTCCAATATTTCCCAGAACCACCAAATTCCTGTGAAGTCTCTAGAAACTAGAAATGTAAAAACTCTAGCACAGTGAGTGATACTCATGACAAAGCAATGTCCTTGCCTAGTGCATGATGAAAGCATGGGCATCCAGTTTTAAATTTACTTCTTAGCTGAGGATTGGACACAGCCCCATCTCTCATGGCCTCAACACCAGGAAAGGAAAAGAATCCACTCTGAGATGGAATTAAGCAGGAACCTGTTCTCCTGAGCTATTTGCCCTGTGTGCCAGCACTGCATTCCTGGTCCTGCTGCACGGGAGAGATCATCACTGACACTGTGCCCAGTCAGCCCCACCTGGTGCATTCTGTGCCCTGTGTGTCTGTCTCAGCTGTGTCAGTCTGTCTGCCTCGTGCAGTGACAGTGGCACAACAAGCCTGGCACATTCCCTAAGCCCTTTCTCAGGAGCCAACTCCTGTGCTTCTGCCAGCTTGAGCAGGCTTTGGTTACAGTCAGCTATGGGCAAATGCATTCCAGTTACAGTGTGTTATATCCCAAGACAGATAATGAGAGGATAAAAGGATGAGGAGGAAAACATGCTGAAGCCCCTTTTGCAATTTTCACTTCAGTTGTAACAGGAAGCCCTAAGTAAGAAGGGCTGTGGTAGAGCAAGTTAAACACTCAGCACCTTGGTGAATGTAGGTCAGTCACCTGCTCCTTTCACTAATGCAGAGTAAGCCTTTGCAGGCTCATCCAAACTCTCTGAGAAATGTGCACAGCCCAAAAGAAAAAGGTCTTTCTCATAATCCTGTTGCATAAGCTCTCCTTTTGGTATTGTTTCCCTGTTTGCAGCAAGTGCTTTCCTGTCGTTTATGCCCATCACATGTAGGGCTGCTCAGAGAGACACTGTTCTTAAATCTTTGCTGCTGGCAAACTGATGAAATCTCAGGCTTGTGGTCTTTTGGATAACAACATGACTCAACAGAGTTCCTGCAGTGGGCAAACGGGTCTTGATCAGTATTGGGGTCTGTGAGACTGGGTTTGAACCAGGCTTCCAAAACCATAATGGGATTTTTGTCCTATTGAGGAGAGATTGGCAACAATGAAGCAGGAAAAAGAAGGCTATTACATTAACAGTGCTACCAAAATATTGTGGAGTCAATAAGAATTGACAGATGGTGAAGAGAAAAACCATGTCATTGGTTAAAAATAGAAGGAGAAACATGACAGAAAATGAAAGTGAAGATGGAGCTCTGAGTAGGCAAGCAGGAACAAAAAAGCATATTTTCTAAAAAGGGCGCAAGAAATTATTTTGGAAAAAAGTATTTTGACACAATATATGTGTTTTCAAGGCATGAAAATGAAAGCATATTCGATCTTATCTTGGCTTCTCACATTTAACTGAAAAAGCAAATAAATTTGGAGGATTTAAAAAAATCTTAATGAGTAAGGCTGGATGACAAGTTCTTTCTGTTATATATAAGAAGATTGTTCTATTGGTGGTACCATTTTAGAGAAGTTGCAATTTGACATCACATTTGATTATAGTTTTGTGCTTTGCTCATTATTACCAAAAGGGCTGCAGTTTATGCACAGGTATAGTGAGGAATACTTGGACAAGGTGAAGAACATAAGATGGTTATGTAGAGTTCTGTTTGAGATTTCACTAAGAACTTTGGTCTGAAATTGGCTTGCATATTTGTTAACCAGTAGGATAAAAAGAATGGATTTGTCTTGAACCTCATAAAACGCTCCAACTTTGTTTTTACTGTGAAAACTTGGATGTTCTTTTTGAATTTGAATTACAACTAGTTTTAAGTTACAGTTCATTTTTGTGTTTTCTTTTACAGAAAAACCTATTGTCATCGGAGGCTTAACTTTTTAGAATCTAAATTTAGCTTACATGAGATGCTGAATGAAATGTCAGAATTTAAAGAACTGAAGAGTAATCCTCATCGAGACTTCTATAATGTGAGAAAGGTAAGTGTGAGAAGGATCAAAGGCATGACACTGTTTTTAGTAGAAGTTCCAGCAGTTCTGTTTTTCATATGGGAGGTGTAGATGATATGCACGAAGTAGTGTGTGCATACCACTCAACTGAATTAAGTTATTTTAAGAATGTTAATGTTTTTCTACGTGGGAGCTCTCCAGGAAAATTAACTTGAATGTGCGTGGGTTAATTGGATTATGCTAAGCTAATTTGTTTACTTACTCCAAATCAAAGGGGCTTAATTGTGTGTAGATTGGTTTAAAGGAGTGAAACAGAGTTAATCAAATGAAGCTCACTTGGATTATGAATAAAAATATCCTTATGGAGGTTTAATTAATTTTAATGAACTCAAAGACATTCAAGGACATTTTTCTGCTTTCATATAGGTACATCCTACTAGACTGTAGTAGGAACAGCTGTATATATTTCAGATGATAATTGCATTTCATATTGAAAATAGATGTTTAAATACATGTCAAAAGACCTCCCACAGAAACTAAACTGAGGGTTCATGCTGCCATCAGTATCTGGTAAAAAAAGTCTGTGATATATTAAGCAAAAAGATTATCTGAATTGTAGTCTTGGCTCCTCTGAGATACACTGGGCTATAATTAGGGGACAGGTAGGAATCAAGGAGCTGATTTAATTTCCTGACATATTCACACCCAAGGGAACTGTGTTCTCTTCAAAGCATGGAAGCAACAGTGTTAGGCTGCTTCATTTGCTTCCCTTCCCTGAAGTGGAGAGGAATTTACTGGAGTTAGTGCTTCATTTTGATAGGTGAGATTTCTTCACAATAGTTGTTTTAAAAAATCGGTGTTTGTAACTAATTTAGGTCCATTCTGCATTGTTTCTCTGTGCAATTGGAAGAGGTAATCCTTATTTTGTAACTTCAGGGTTTAATAATCCTTCTTGTTACATTTTGGTTAGCACTAGTTCATCAAAAAGTCCTCTTGGCTTTTCCCTATAATGCCCAATGTGTTTGCTGCCACTGTCGTGGTAATAAACTGTCCCAGTGTCCTTCACAAAGGTGGAAGCAGATGAGGTGTCAGGTAAGTTCGAATGGATTTCATCCTTCCAACTGTTAAACGTGTGGATGGGAGGATCTGTCAGCTGATTCACTCAAGTGGCAGAGACTCAGCTGCCAACCTGAAAGTTTTCTTGCATAACCCTGGAAATTTGCTACGTGCCACATTCAGAGAAAACGCCTCAGTAGCTGAGAGAGACTTTGCTAATAAAACACATGGCGATTGAGACATGCAGAGGGGTGGACTGGGTGACTACCACAATCAGTTTGATTACTGAGAAGTTGTAATTAACAGGATTGTGCTTGCTAAGTTCAGCTTTTGATCTAAAAGCAAATGTTGAGTGTCTCTGGGCATATCTTAATTATTTTTTAATTACCTGCTGTTGAATAAGCCACTCTACAAAAGGATTCTTGTTGTTCAAAAGCACAAAATATGCATTGCTTCCCCTCTGGCAATAAGCACATTGCAGAGAGCAGGAACCAGCCTGCTCTTCTCTGCCAGAGACTATTCCTACTGCCAGCTACTGCTTGAAAAATTCTTGCTGCACAGAGGTAATCTTGCTTAAAGTATTTTTATGAAGCAAGCTCACAAGCAGTATTTTTCTGAAGCACTCTGGAAAGTAAACTGCATTGTAGACACAATTCCTGTAAGCCCCTAGATAATCTTGTTTTCCTTGTGTCTTGCTAACCCCAGTAATGTTTGGAACTGTAACTTCCCTGAAGTGCTCCCTTGCTAATAACAGAATCAGCAGTGAAACATTTGACAGCCAATGCTTCTCAGCCTCTGTTTTCAGGATGTCTCTTGGTTAAGTCAATCCTTAGAAGTGCTTACTGCTCACAAGGAAAGCAAGGAACAGGATTCACCTTCCCAAAGAGCTGTTGGTGAAGTTGTGTATCACATCCCTCAGACACAAGTGTGGAGGTCCTGGTACAATCTGCTTATACGAAAGAGCCAAAGTAAGGGATGGAAAATGCCAGAATTGGAACAGATATGAATGTAGTGGCAAGGTCAGTCAGTGAACGTGTACTGCTGTATTTAGAAAGGTACAATGGAAAGCTGGCATGACAGCCAAACATTACTGGTTTTCCCCTGCCTCCTGTCCCCTTCCCCACTTTCTTCCCTGATTTAATAGGAGTTCTCCTCCAGTGAGATCATCTATTTCCTAAAACCCAGTATAGGCTCATCTTAAATAAGGGACATGCACGTTTATATCTTGTATATTGAACTTCCCTGGAATGCAGCCCAAGATATATTTTGCACTGATCCAGCTGGACCTGGAAAATTGCCCTTTACTAAGGACACAGGCAGGCAGGAATGCACAGGTGGTAAGACAGCGAGGCTGGCTCCCCTTGGCTCTCCACAGGAGGTGAACAACTGTCTGTGAGGAAAGCACTAACTTCAGAGGAGACTCTGCTCTGCCATCAGCAGGATTCCTCACGTCCTCCAGCTGATGCACAGCAAAGTGCAGGCACTGCACATTTCCCACATAATACTGCCTGCATGAAGAATGAAATTTAGGAACAAAAGTTTAGCTCTGTGGTACACAAACTCAGAACTCAGTTTTAACCTTTGTGTACCAGGGTGTCTTGTCCTATATGTGAGGTTTGTTTGAGAGGGGCTTCCTGTGCCCAACAGCCTCAGATAATTCAGAGCAGACAGTTAATTTTTTTTTTTGAGGTGAAGCCAAGAGATGTTTTTACCCAACATTATTTGCTACCTTTGTAATGGATGTCCATGTACTGGATTGGCAGGTGTCCTTCACTGCAAATAGCTTTGATACAGTTTCTGAAGATGAAAAAATCACAGCCTAAGCTTCTTTGGATATCCTTTCTTTCTGTAGCCACTATTTCAGTGTGTCAGCACTGAGAATATGTCCTAGCAGTGACTTTTACACCTCATTCTCCTGCCTGCAGGCTCACTAGTGCAGGTGCCCAACCTTGTGTGGGGAACTGTGCATGGGAGAATGCAGTTTGTGCATTCACAGCCCTGCTGAATGCTCTGCTGCAATAGCTGGCTGCTGCTGTGACATCTGTTGGATGAGGACGTTGCAACTGAATTTTTATTTTTTAAATTACTGGTTAGACAAAAAGGAAGTAAACTCTAGCTGTTTTTTAAGACCACAGAGTTGAAAAACCACTGGTTGTACTTGTAAGAAGGAAAGTTAGAATGGGGTTAAATGCTGCTAAATTCTATAGATCTCACAAAATACTGAATGGAATTAGCAGATGTCTGCTTTTTAAACATTTGATTACAAGCCTTGTGAGTGAATGGTGAACCTGTAACTTCTCTGAACTTTGGTTCATTCTAAATTTGCTTTTTTTTTAATGTTTCTTTTGTTTCCCCCAGTAGCTACTTAACTGACTTTAGTGATGAACTAGTTTCATCATATAAACCAAAATGACAGTGAATGGGAAGACTTTTGGATTAGCATCAGATGCAAAGGGAATGCCCCTTCAGCATGACATGGAAGGTGCCTTGCCACTGTTAACTGGCAGCAAAGCTGGCTGCTGTGCTTTCAGAGCTCTGAGTGCTGCTTCTCCCCTCCTGCCTTGCAGACATGCTGAGGCAAATTCTTGTCTCTACCCTCAGTCTTGCAAGTGAGCACAAAATGCAATCAGGTGTAAAGGCATCAATCATTATAATGCAAAATTTCTGTAGAGACCATAAGGAAAGCTTTTCCTCTCTCCTTTCTTTTAGTAATTAAAAGAATGGAACAAGAGATTTTTTCTTCACAGCAGTGTATTTCTGTATTTGTGTGAATACAAACTCTCAGGTTGGATTCTGCAGCCAAACAAGAAGCTGGATGTGCAGGGATTCTCTTCTCATCTCTCCTGGTTTCTGGGTTGCTCTGCATGGCATAAATATGAATTATATAAATATGAATTAGACAAGCTCCCAAGGAGCTCTGCACAGCTCTAGGGACTATTTCTGCTGCCAGGAGCATTCCTGCACTACCCGAGGACAGAGTTTTTTGTGCCTCTGCCTCTCATGCCTGTTAAGGAACTGCAAGGAGAAAATCAATCCCACTGTATGCAGCTTTGCATCCTCTCAGAAAAGCTGATGCAGTATGAATGTATTGACGAGCAGGAATCTAGCAGTGGGATGAGGAATGACTTCAATTCAGCACTGAAGTAAAGCCTGCAGAGCATTCAGTGTCAGGTTCATGCAGCCCATAGCTATTGGGTTAGAGGTATTTACAAGTGAAAGTGTATGTGTTTAGAAAATGTGGCAGTTTACAGCTGTGGGTACTGCTAATCCATGCCCTGAAAAAGTTCAGTGGTATTTAAAGGGCTGTCCTTGGCATTTCTTTTTGCTGTATTTATCACTTATCACTCTGAATCTAGCTCATATGCCCAATTCAGTGCAACACTGTTTGTGATATGCACAGATAAGCATCCATAAAACAGATCTGAGATGGAGGTTTTGTGGAGATCTGAGCAACAGTGGAATGAAAAAGAAGGAATGCAGGAAGGTAAGGGAGGAGGCAGAGTGGCAGAGGGAGGCTGGTGCTGGTTAGATGGAACTCCTCCACGCTGTCAGTACACAGATGTAACCGCCTTGCCTGAGAAGGACAAGATTTCACCCCAAAACCTGCAGAGAGAAGCACAGGGTGGTCAGGTCAGTGAGGAGGGGAACAGAATAGTCTGAACTAGGAATGTGCAGAGAAAGAAAGCCTGGCTTCGTCACATGGAGAATTGCTGAGTGAAGGGAATTCTACCATGCTTTAAGTGCAAGCGAGCTGATGTCCAGCATTGCTTGAATGATGGAATTGCAAGAATGTAACCTGTATGTAAACAACAGTTTCCATTTGTTAAAAGGGTGAGCTCACTGAAGGTACAGTACTGTGTTCCAAGACAGGCTTCTGTCAGTCATTCTGTTTTTCTTTCCATTGAAGATTAGCGTGACCTTGAGTGAAAGGTTTTCTGCTGGGGGAGGGGACAATAAGCAGGGCAAGAGGAAATCTGGTAAAGGGAATGCAGCCGGGGGTTTTTTCCACTCAGGAGAAACTGGGCTGGAATGGCACTATAGTGTATTTGAAAATACAAGGGGAATGTTTGCAGGCTGGAATGGCACTATAGTGTATTTGAAAATACAAGGGGAATGTTTGCAAATAGAAACAAATAAACCTTGTGGTAGGGGTGTGTTACTCGTGGTCCAGAAAAGCATCAGCTTATTTCATGTACTGTATGAAGAACAAGATAGTAATATCTTAAACTGGGAGTGGCTTTTTCTGGGAAGGAAGAAGGAAGCAAAGGGTTTTTTTGTCACCCTTATATGAATTCAGTCTGTTCAAATTGTTTTAGTAGAAGCCTTTCATAATAAATAAAAAGAAATCTAGTAACAATATTTTAGCATGATAACATTTCACATTATAATAACAATAATGACAATGACCTGCCTAACCAAACCAGCCCACCTGAGCTCTTTCTAAGGGTTCTGTGTTCATTTAGTTAGGATTGTACCCTGCATGGTAAAAATGTACAAAAGCATACTCACTAACTAACTATGTGCCAGGACAGCTCAAAGCTCAAGTCCTTAAAACCTTCCAAAAAGTTGCATTTATGCTAAAAAACAATAAAGAAGAAAAGCTGTGTGATACCCTTATGACTTTAGATTTGAGTCTTTTATGACTTTTTATTACTGAAGTTGCTGCTTGCTTACAGGTCAAATTATACTGGGTAGTAAAAAAAGGTAAGTAAAGTAGTGAATATTCTCTGGAAAAAGCAAGAAGGAGATTCCAGGAAAGTCTCTTATCTTTTCACAGATACGTGTGTTTAGTTTGGAGGAGGAGGAGGTAAAAAAAAAAGTATGCATACATACATACATACATACATACATACATTTTATACTGATATCTATAAAGGCAGATCTTTGTTCTCAGAATTAACCTCTTGTGATTAAGCTAGGGCTGTGTGTGATGTGTTTGTGGGGATGGAGAAGATGTCACAGGAGCTCACTGGAGAGCAAAGGCACACTCCAGAGAAGTATTACTCAACAGGAAGCAGGATTTTAAAAGCAATGTGATCTCTGCACAGAAGCAAACAAAAGAAACAAAAAGCCTCCCTGCTTTCCATCCTTGCCCTCCCAACAGCAGTGAATTCATGTTGATTTACATAAAGAGGAAGTGCTGTGTCTTGTTTTGTTCCGACTTTTTTCAAGACTCATTAATTCCAGTAGTAACTGAGCCACTGCTGGAACCACTGCATTCTGAAATTCAATAAACTACACTTATTCAGGGTCCCCACACCTGTATTCTCTGCTTATGACTTGCTTTTCATTAGCATTTAGAGCCTATAGGGCATCTGTTAACTGTTGTTCCACTCTCCTATACAAGTTTACCAAGCCTAGTAGTATTTCACTGTTCCCGGAAGAGTTTACAGTAAACAACATTTGTGCCTAAACCAGAGAATGTTTATGAACCTGAGTAAGCACATGTATAAAATGCTCTTGGGCTCAGATATTTATACCAGTACTCTGAGGAGGGTGAGAATACATTGGGTGGGGGTGTTTACTCTTTATATACAGCACTGTTTCCTGTGCATTAATAATGTGCTTTATGTTCTGTACTTTGAGACAGCCATATGTTTCTTGCTTTTTCATTTAGCTGTAATGTGTCTGGTATATTTGAATTAGGCAGTGATTAACAATTAATTATTTAGGATTCAGTTTTATTTCCTGGTTTTTATTTATGCTACTGCCATTCACAAGGAGAAGCTGCAATAACTTGTGTATATCTGACATGCAAACAGAATGACTCCAGGGGCCAGGTGAAGCAGTGGCACTCCTGTGGCCTGGATGTCATGGCATAAACCCAGGCTTACACTGGAGGAGGGTGGCTTATTCTGTGCTCTGTGATGTGTTTCCTGCTGATCCTTAAAAGCAGATAAGGATGTTGATTAGCTCTGTTGGTGAAATGTGAAACTGCAGAGTCACTGCACAAAGGGGAACAAATGCCTTGGGCTCACTTTGTTCGTGTCCTTGTTTGCAGTTTCCTGGACAGAGGAGTCTTGGATCAGAGTCCTTTCAGACATTTAGCTTCACTGGTTCCTTATATATTTGGTTTATTTGAGAAGTTCTTTTAGTGTTACTAAGGACTTTGACAGGGAAAATTTATATGACAATCAACCCCCCATATCTCAGGAGTTGTTTCTTTGGATTGTGTTCCAGTAGAAGCTGCTCAGGTAGCAGTGCAAGCTTCTGAGCAAAAGCAAAGCAGACCTGTGGAAATCATTTGTTTCTTGTCAATACTTTTTTTTTCCAGCAAAACCTGGAGGAGTACTCTTAGCTCTTCTGTGAATTTGCACTTCCTTTAGTGTGTGAAGAGATCTGAAAAGTCTGTCAGCGTTATGAGTTGCTGTATTATAATTAAACTTGGAAAAAAACCTCACATGTATATTCTTCAGTTCTGGTGGCCTAAGATGTTTCCTATGGTTGAAATACAAAAATGAATTCTGCTTTTGGAAATGGCTGAGAATTCCAAGTCCTTTCAATCAGTGAGGATAGTTATAACCACAGTCTATAACTAGAGAGGCATTGCTGATTCATTAATGAAGTGAAAGGATAGTAAGGGATCAGAGTGTCCTTTAAGGAAGTATCAAATTTCATCTGAACCCAGGGCCAGTGATTGGCACTTAGAATGTGTCTTGTTGAAAGTTTTCCTATTTAAATAGGAAACTATTAATTGAGGACTACTTTACTTACAGTTCTGCTTATTGAATAATTCTATCAAAATCAAAATCTCAGGGTTCTGAAACATTTTGATTTGTTTAGGCACTTATCTATTTGTTATGAAGGAATATATTAAGGAATATTTTAGAAGGCTTTAGTCCCTGTTGTCAGTGATATAGATACTTTGCTAATTAAGTTTATGTAGATGGATGATAAGCATAAATAACCTTTTGATTTCAGGTTGACACTCATATCCATGCTGCTGCCTGCATGAACCAGAAGCACTTACTGAGGTTTATTAAGCACACCTATCAAACAGAGCCTGACAGGATTGTTGCAGAGAAAAAAGGCAAGAAGATGACTTTAAAGCAAGTCTTCGAAAGCCTGCACATGGACCCCTATGACCTCACTGTAGACTCTTTAGATGTCCATGCAGTAAGTCTAGAGAAATGACCAAACAAATGGGAAAGAGCTAAGTTTTTCAAGTGTGAAATTCTATTTTCTATAATGTTTGCATGATAAGTTACTAAATCAGAATTTGACTTCATGCATTACAGTGCATGTTCAAAAGAAGTTATCAAAGGATTTTTCTTTTCTGTACTTTTAATGCTAGGCAATTTAATTTATGAACTATTGTGTGCTCTTAAAACTACAGTTATTTGGGTTTTTTTCCTCCTTCAGGGACGTCAAACATTCCATCGATTTGACAAATTCAATTCCAAGTACAATCCAGTTGGTGCCAGTGAGCTGAGGGATTTGTATTTGAAGACTGAGAACTACATTGGTGGTGAATATTTTGCTCGTATGGTCAAGGTAAATAAGTTCCAAGCTTTTCCAGCTGTAGAGAAATGAAGATTTGTAATAGATTTGTGATGTCATCATTGTATATAGACCTAACACTATGGTTAAGTGATTCCAAGTATTGGGCTTGCTCCAGCAATTCCTCAGAGGAAAACCTCTGCTAAGTTAGCCCCTGCTGCTTTCTGAAGAGTTTTATGATTTAGAAACATCCACATAAGCTGTGTATGAGTTCAAGGCTGAGTTGGGAGTAGTTTGAAACTAATGGAGAGCAGCCAAGGGTCCATTCACTGGTTTAGTATTTTGTTAGGATTTTTTGTTAGGATTTAGTTGGCTACTGGTAGTTGCTAGGGAAGGGGAAAGCATGCATAAATCTGCATCTGCACATGCATGCAACAGGATTCTAATTAATTAACTAATTATTTTCTTAGAACAAAAAAATTAGTAGTTTTTGTGATGTAGTAGATGTCAGCTCTTCTTGCATATACAGAAGTATTGTCTAAAAATAATTGCTGTAAAATTGCTTACTACCACAGATTCTGGGTCAGATTCTCCATTGTTCTGCATATTTATGTAGACATTTGCTGTAGTTTAAATAGTCTAATTCTGATTTATCAATCTTAAACGTAGGTCTGACAAAGGTGTTAGTAATGAGTGCACAAGAACGTTGTCCTCTAAAAGGTGTTAAGAGTTATTCTCAGTTCTATGTACAGTTAAGTTATATTCACATGATATTTGAACTAGCTTGCTAGTAGAATATTTAGATGCCTAAAATAAAACAATGGATTGAAAGACAAGAGATTCCCTTTATCTTTAAAGGCTGCCAATAAGAGTTATGTGTGCTCTGAGGAAAATGCAACGATAAATATCTCTCTGGCTGTAAATCTTAGTGTCCATATGAAAGCAAATATATTTATTATTTCCTAGGAAGTAGCCCGTGAACTCGAAGAAAGTAAATACCAGTACACAGAGCCCCGCTTATCCATTTATGGACGGTCTCCAGATGAATGGCTCAACTTGGCCAAGTGGTTCATTAAACATAAAGTTTATTCCCCTAATATGCGCTGGATAATTCAGGTTCCCAGAATCTAGTAAGTAATCAGGAGCTCTTGGTAATCTTAATAATTTGAAATCATATCAATGACTTAATTTCTGGTAATATTTAGATGGCTTATTAGCTGTCCTGTAGTTCTATTTATAAGCAATAGCTTGGGAGGTTTATTTTTGACCATTGGTGCAGTTTTCCTGACAGTCTGGGGGTGGAAGACAGGAGATGGGGATTGAATCTACTCTTTATGAAGCTATTCAAAACTATTGTCAATTATTTGTAAATCTGAAGACATTGAAACCAAAAATTACAACTGGGTGAAATCAAGCTGCATTCAAAGACAAGTTAAAATACAATTTAGTAATGAGAATAAATCAACTCTTGAATTCCATGACGAAGTAGAAAATGCTCTGTCAAACTGTTATCATCAAGATTAATGACTAAATGACAGTGAACTTGAAAACAACCCAGACTGATGATTTCCAAACTTAAATCCTTATCAGTTCTTCTTAATGTTTGAACATCCTTTGATACTTTATTTCTTTGCTTCCAATACTGGGTGTTGTAACACAGTGTCCCCCAATAATTTTGTCAGGCTTCATAAATGAGCTTCATGTTTTGAGCTGTCACAGCTGGAGTATGAGTAGAGAAGGCTCTGTCACACTCACATGTGTGTGCTTTTCACTGGGGAGAAAGTTTCTCCCCTTTAATTCCTTACATAGGAATTCCTTACATAGGAATTCCTTACATGCATGGCACAGTCAGCACTTTGAATAAGTCATGCACTTGGTGGCACATGGAAGTGCTATCCCTTTTTTCTGAAAGGCTCACTAAAGCACAGCGTTCTACTCTCCTTTGCAGTAGTTACAATTATAGGAAATAGAATTTTTCACGAGAGGTAGCTCGTTATCTGCCCTGACAGTACCTGAATGTCTGTAAGGGACAGGGTCACTCTCTCACCACCCCTGCATGCTGTCTCTAATTTTGGAGCACTTGAGAGCTTCAGCAGAGCCTGGATGAAGCAGAGTGCCAGGCAGTGCAGGAAACAGAGCACAGAGACAATCTGCCCTGACATAACCTTTGAATTTCTGAATCCTGGTGGAACTGAAGCTCTAGAATGTACACAAATAACAGAAAATATGAAAGTGAAGGACAATACAAGCCTATTAAAGAATGTGTCTATTTTTTCCCCTTCAGTGACATATTTAGGTCTAAAAATATTCTGCCTAGTTTTGGGAAAATGTTGGAGAACATCTTTGTACCTTTGTTTGAAGCAACAATCAATCCCAAAGACCACAAAGAATTGCATCTATTCCTCAAATATGTAAGTATGTTTGGGTTTTCTTTCTCACATGAAATGGATCCTCTACTGCTCCTATTTTTTTTTCAGTCCACAGCTGTTCCCAGACACTGAAAAAGCTTCCTTCTCCACAGATTGCTTGTAATTATTATTGTTTCAAAGCCCTGACACATAATTTAGTACAAGTCTGTGTGAGGTCCTGTTGTCACACAACCTGTTTATTTCCTCAGAAACAGCTCAGCAGCTATTTATTTGTCCTTTCATTAATGGCCAAAAATGTTTGCATGCTTTTGTGCATTATCATCCAGGATGAGTCCTTTGAGCTGCTTCTGAACTGGCCTTCAAGAAGGAGGCAGCTGAAAGGAAGGATTGTGTAGATGGTGATGGAACTCAGGAGAGAAGTGGGGATGTAGCTGCTGGCAAAATCTTAACACACATTTCTGAGTGTGCCTCAAATCACAGCTCTGAGGTTTCCTGGAGCCTCTTGCTCTCAGCTGCTTATCAAAGACAGCAGAGGAGTTCAAAGGATTCTGGTCTGGCTCTCAGGGAGTCTTGCAGCTCTGTAAACCCCCACAGGAGCCTGAAGGCTTTTGTGCACCTGTGCTTCCTGTTTGTCTCAGAAGAAAAACAAGAAGGGTAAAACTCTGACAAAACATGTTATTCCTGCTGTGAGCATGGTATGGTAGGATGCAGAGCAGCAGGACTGCTAGGACAGGGATGGAAATGAAGGGGGATGGACTGGATGCTTGTTCAAACAAGTCCTGAAGCAAGAGTAGGTGGTGCTGAAGTTTCCTCCTTGAAGCCCCTTATTTCTGGGAATTTCTTCTCCCACCAGGTGACTGGCTTTGACAGTGTTGATGATGAATCCAAACACAGTGGCCACATGTTCTCTGACAAGAGCCTTAACCCTGACCTCTGGACCAGTGAGAAGAATCCCCCATATAGCTATTATTTGTATTATATGTATGTGAACATCATGTTGCTAAACAACCTTAGGAGGTAAGTAGACACTTTTCTATCTTACAAGCTCCCAGAAAATCAGTATTTTGCTCTCAGGCTGTCTAGATTACAGATCATCTGAAGCAAGGGTTATTTTGAATTATTTACAAAGTTGAGTACTTGAGATATTTTGAAAATACTAACGATAGAATTAATTCAAACAAAAAATTCAGAAATTGTAGAGGCATCAGATTAATATCTTGTTTTGATATTTGTGTGTATTTTGGGTTTTTTTAACTCCAAAAAGCTGCCTAGACCAAATGAAACAAAAGAAGGAACCTCACAGCAGATTCCCAAATACAATGTGCCTGCCTATCTCCTGGAAATTTAGGAGACACAAAATTAATATTGTGACACACTGGCTTAGGGGCTGCTGCATTCAGAGACAGACCAAGTAGGACACAATTACAAACTGCACATCCAGCTAACTTCCTTCTTCACTCACTCAGTTTTACTTTTGAGACCAATGTTTGGGCAAGTAATGCAGGGAGTTATGTGACATCAGACTGTCAGAGCAGATTTTGGGATCAGGCTCAGGAAAGCCTGAAATTCAATGTGAGGTTATGTTGCTAAATGTGCAGCTGACTCATGGAGTGACCTGCACAGCTGAGGCACAGTGTGGTTATCCACTGATACAAGAGTGTCATCACTTACCTTAAAAGGATTTGGTTCGTTTCATTTAGTTATTTAGGTTATTTTAGTTATTTAGGTTATTTTAGTTATTTAGAAAACATTTTGGGATTTTCATATAGAAGGTGCATAGATTTGTCATTTTACAGTTTTATCCAAGTTAGCATTCAATATGTTATTTCTTCTCTCCCACTGCTACTTCGAGCATTTCTTTATCATCTTATTTGAACAAAACTCATAATGCAAACACTCACCTTAATTTACCTTGTGTGTGCAACAATCAGGTGTAGTTGTTAGTTTTAGTTCTCTAATGGAAAGGACACACTGCAGCAGACAGCTAAGTCATCCCTTTCTCCTGACTTCCTTTACATTCTCTGTAGTCTACATGCCTTTTCTGTTCCAAAGACAGATTCTGCCAGAACTAATACATTTCTTTTTTATCTCAAGATCATTTTGACTACTGTATTAAAATGCCCCCAGAAAATCATTAAATATTCTTTACAGCTGAGATACTGACAGAATTCACCAATGAGTCACTAACTGCTCACCCTGTTAATGTGTGCTTGAGTCAACACAGCCCTGGCAAGACTGTTTTATATTTTTGGTAATATTAGTGAGGATGGATTACATCCTCACATCAGGAGAAATGATACTAACTTCCACCCTAGAATTGCCTTGTATTCTAGCACTCCTTGTTGAAATTGTGTTTTAAACATCTCCAAATACTTGTGGGACATTTGTCTGTACTGAATAACAGGGCCCATTATAGCCTTGAACCCAACATCACTTTTAATTGTAGATAATAACGTAATTCTATTAATTACAGTGGAAGTCTGGTGTAATAACTAACAATCCCAGATCATCTCTGCTTCTGAGGGTGTGGTTTTATGCTACACTTAGCCTGGTGAGATGACAGGCTCTGATTACACTAGGTTAGCTAACTCTTGGCAGCATACTTCCCCTTCTCATTTTGAAGCAGGAATTTTGCACAGGTTGCTTGGGTTTACTGAATTTTCCATCTGTCAATTCACTCCACTGAAATCCATTCAGTAGCTGTTCACTCTGTGGGTAGACAGTAACTAAATGAGACGTAACTGGGGAAGGAAAGAAGACACACATATGTCTGGTGGTAGAAGGGGTTTGTGTAGAGGGACCTGTCCCTTTGAGCAGCCCACTACAGGCAGGCCTGGGTAGATGATGCCACATCAAATGAGAATGTGTAACTTAATTTTCTTCTTTTTAAACATACTACTGGCAGTTATATACCAAATAGATACAGAATGGTGCTTTCTCTTAAGTGGAACTTGCTTTTAATCTCTTCAGGGAAAGAGGCATGTGCACTTTCCTGTTCCGACCTCACTGTGGAGAAGCTGGGTCTATCACACACCTTGTTTCTGCCTTTCTCACAGCAGACAACATCTCTCATGGACTGCTCCTGAAGAAGGTATTGCTTGGTTGCTCCTAAACTAATCACTGTCTGCTCAGACCTCCATCACTGGTTCAAACAGAAGGCATCAAATTGACACTTTTCTGGGCAGCCCAAAATCAATTTATTAATAATTATATTAATATTAATACTATTAATTAATTCACTTTCGTAGCAAGACACAACTCTTCAGTTTGGTTAGAAACACCAGCCAGACCCCCCAATACCAGAACAGCTGGACCTGTTGGAGGGAGTCCAGAGGAGGCCATGAAGATGCTCAGAGGCCTGGAGCACCTCTCCTGAGGAAAGGCTGAGAGCATTGGGCTTGTGCAGCCTGGAAAAGTGAAGGCTCCAGGGAGACCTTCCAGCCCCTTCCAGTAGCTAAATGGGGGTTACAAGAGAGAGACTTTTGTTGGAAGAGGGGAGGTTTAGATGAGATATAGGGAAGAAATTCTTAACTGTGGGGATGGTGAGGCCCTGGCACAGGTTGCCCAGAGCAGCTGTGGCTGCCCCATCCCTGGAAATGTCCAAGGCCAGGCTGGATGGGGCTTGGAGCCACCTGGGATAGTGGGAGGTGTCCCTGCCCATTGCTGATGATCCCTAAGGTCCTTTACAAACCAAACTATTTCATGATTCAGTGAAATAAATAAGCTCAACTGAACTTCCTATTCTTAAGCTACAAAAAGACAGCTTTGTCTTCTCAGGGAAGGAGGATTAACTATTCAGATATGTCAAAGATTTGGCAGCACTCATTTTTGGTTACTTCAAGCAGAGATAAAATTACATGAACAAAACTTAAAACTTTAGACTTGCTACTGCTCCCTGGTTTAGTCCCAGAAGAACTTAAGGAAAGCTCTCATTTCTTCTCTATGGGGACAAAAGTAATTTTCTCTGATTGGCATTTCTGTACTTCAGGGTTCATTCAGAAGTTCTTTAAGGATTTGATTATTTTGATCAAGAAATTCAACATAGCTGTTTGACACAACAATATTTTAGACATAACAGATGTTTTATGACAGAACAAATGTTATAATTCCTGGCACATTAGTTAATGAAAACCATCACTCAGCCCCATCCTCAGGGCACTGTTTCGTAATTAAAATAATTGGTCAGTGGGTGGCAGACTTGTACTGAGTTTACTGCAATTTTTCAGGAGTTCCCTTATAAGTGAGATTTTTTTTTTTTTTTAAATGCTGGAAAATTCTCTGTATTTTTCAACATAACCAAGAACAAAGAAAAAATGTACCTAAAATCATATCCGATACTATGCTCATAAATGGTCATAAAATATTAATTAAATTAGATAATTAGATAATAATTAAATAATAAATAATAATTCAGTTAGATAATAATTAAATTAGATAATAATAATTAATAATAATTAAATTAGATAATAGTTAGATAATTAAATTAGATAATATTCATAAAATTAGACCCAGAGAGAGTAGCACTAAAGCAGTGTGTGACCAAAGCATTCTCCTCTCCCTCCCTCCTGCCTGAGCTGGTGTGATAAGATGGCATGGCAGGTACTAATAATAGCAATGGTAATAAAGGCACTTGTTAGCTTCATAGGTTGGCTAAGGCAAAACAGTAATAAAGATGATGTGATCTCAGATTATTTGTATTCTGTACAACAGCAACACATGACTTCTCATAAATTAAAACTTCTTCTGCTCCCAAAATTTATCTATTAGACTGCAGCTTTGGAAATAAAGAATTGCTTAGCAGTTCTTGCCCATCTCTTTTCTGTGACTTTGAGGTTTTGGGGAAGGCATGCAGCTGGTACTAAATGCAGTGCCCATAATGGTCATATATATACTTATTAATCTACAGAAATATTAGTCTCTGTATTTTTAAAAAGATGACACCTATATTAAGGAACATAAATTATTTTTATAAAGATCAGTAAGATTTAAAATTCAGACTTCTAACTATTTCCTGGAGAAGTCATGGTTTAATGTCAACCTAATTTTTTTATCTTAGTTCTCCCTGTAGTCCTGTTCCATTTTATCCAAGGGAAACCCTTCTCTTTTTCATTATCCCATAGTACCATTAAATGCTGACTGTGTTTTGTTTTTCAGAGTCCTGTCCTCCAGTATCTGTATTATCTTGCACAAATACCCATTGCTATGTCTCCACTAAGTAACAACAGCCTATTCCTGGAGTACTCCAAAAATCCACTACGGGAATTTCTCCATAAGGGACTGCACGTCTCCCTCTCCACAGACGATCCCATGCAGTTTCATTACACAAAGGTAGGAATTGCAAAAAGCACCAGCTTGCAGTTTGGTAACAGCACCACACAGGTCCAGAATGACCTGAGAGCTGTTTTATTTCATTGCTTAGGACATAGTGTCATGTCTTTCAGTCACTTCATTCATTCTCCCTCCTCATTCTCTGTCTACTACTCACTGTTAGGCTTCAGAAGGAAATGTCTGATTTCCTAATTATGTTTCTTTTGTACTCTTGCCTCTCCAGTGTTGGCTGTTGAAGTATAAAATGAAGGATGAGGCTGAAGGGAGGTTTGAGCCTTCATAAACAATCCTCTAGAGTGCCAGGAAAGTCCAGTTTCCTTACTCTAATAAGTCTGGGGAAGTACATTACAAAAACACGATGTGGAATCTCAAGATGACATATGAGCTGCTCACTCAGTGAGCTGAAACAGATTCCTGCCCTTGGGTGGCCTGGCAGGACAGGAGTGCCTGGTCACTGGCTGTGATGCCCTTGTTTGTGGCTGGCACCGATTTGAGCCATGCTGTGCCCAGAGGATGGGCACACTTCTATGGCTCAGCTCCGTGTCCCAGGACAAGCCAAGCCCTGCCAGCCATGCCCTGGGCTGGCTGCTGGCCCGGGAGCTGGAGCTGCTGCTGGCTGGGGCACGGGTGCAGTCACATGGAGTGTGCAAGGTCCTGGGCTGGGACAGCCCCTGGGGCCACACCCGCCCGCCTGGTGTGGGAGGAATGGAGCCAGAAATTGCCCTGCTACCTGTCCGTGTGCAAAGTCACTCAGGCTTCACAACTGGGTGCTCCAGGGTGTTTGTGTACCCTGGGGGCTCCTTTGGAATTGCCTAAGAAATGCCTCCAAGGATCTGGACTGCAGGCTGCAATTTCTTAGGCTAAGCTAACTTGATACCCAGTGCCTATTAATTATTAACCGGTAGTCCTTGGGAAATTTGAAATGAACAATTCTTTTCATAGTAGTTGTGATTTAAAAGTTTCAAACTTGGAATTTTTCACAGCTGTCTAAAGAGCATGTATAAACTGCTTAATTAGTAAAATGAGTACGTATCCCCATTTATATCTTATTTATGTATAATTTAATATCAAATGTATTTTGGTGCTGCAGGAAGCTCTCATGGAAGAATATGCTATTGCAGCTCAGGTGTGGAAACTAAGTACATGTGACTTGTGTGAAATAGCAAGAAACAGCGTTCTACAGAGTGGACTGTCAGATAAGGTAAGTGTGGCTGGAAAAGCTCTGCTGTGAATTTTAGGACAAGTAGGAACCCAGAAGTCAATAGTCTGAACACTGAATAGCAGGTGCTTAGTGATGTATTCGTGTACATCCCTGTCCTCTTTTCCAGAAATAGGCACAAACTATCTGCTATGCAGCTTTACATTACAAGTAAAGTATTAACATTACTTTTCCCCATTAGCTTTGTTTTGGAATTCTCAAAATAAGTAGAGAGACCAGATGCCTGTTTATACTGAGTTCTCCTTCTAGTTACAAATTTTTAATTATTTGGGTGCTATCCTTTTGCCAGTGATTTTCTACATCATGTCTTAGCATTAAGTAAAACCAAACTGCCTGTCATAAGCAAGACATGTTTTTGCTTAAAAGGGAGAACTACAGAAAATATTCTGGTTTAGATAGGCAGTCAGATTAGATTAATTTGCCTTTTGGCTTTAAAATTCTGTATAGCCAAGGCTTTCTCTAGGTCTTATTTCAAAGCATTCTCTTGTCTATGTCACTTTTGAACATTCCTCTGAAGGGAACTGGTATTTGAAGGGGCTTCATGAGTATATTCTGTTTTTTCTTCCAATATTCTCTGGTGACAATTATTCATTTTCCTCGTGTGGCATTTAACCAACAAAAGAGACCTAAGCCTCTTTTTGCCCTCTCACATGCAAGATGTGGCAATGAAGGCTGAACACTAACACAGAGGGTTTTAGTAAGCCAGACTGAATGCACTTTTGAGTGATTATGTGGATAAACTTTGGCCTTAAAATCTCCTAAACTGGTTAAGACTCCGAGGAAGAGTTCAACAGCCAGCTGGTTGAAACTGCTCTTTTCACTTGTACTGGACTCATTCAGCCAACACTCCTTTCTGCAGTAAGTCAAAGCAATTGAACTGACTTCTTCCTTTTGACTTTTAATCCCATTCACAGGAAAAGCAGAAATTCCTAGGGGTGAATTATTGCAAGGAAGGGCCTGAAGGAAATGACATTCGAAAGACAAATGTTGCCCAGATCCGGATGGCCTTCAGGTATGAGACTCTGTGCAATGAACTCAGCTTCCTGGCTGATGCCATGAGAACAGAAGATATTTCTACTCTGTCCAAGTAGTTACAAACTCAGAGAAACCAGAACATGTCCCTCTTAAGCAGGATAAGATGCTAATTAACCTCAAATCGTCTGTCTTTGATGCTACAGAGACATAACTGAAGAGTACAGAGACAAAGTATCTGTGGAAGGTAAACAGCGTTTGCCATCACCTGTTACCGCATTATTCTCCTTGCAAAGATTTTGGTTTCTACGAACATTAGGCTTTTTAAGATTGCTGTAAATATTAAATGCAAACTCACAATCATGTACTATTTGTTTCATACTGTCTTAACTGTGCCCTGCAGTGTAGCCTGGGAAACCAGAGAGAATATTTGTAGTGCAGCTGTGCTGTGCACCTGAGGATCCCACAGGTGTTGACAGCACACACCCACCTGGGTGGGTCCTGCAAGTCTCAGTACCAGTCATGGCTTTTAACACTTTTAAAGTTTAACCCTTTATTCATTAGCAGTTTCTATGGGGTGCAGAATTTTGAGGCTAATGCTTCATTTTGACACAGTTTTTAACTCAATGTTTCAGCAGTTATATTGGAAAACAAGGGAAAACAGCATCGGGTAATCTTGTTCAATGACTAATTAATTCCTGTTGTTATGTAGGATGTCAGTGAAGAACAGCAGATGAATGCTTTTTAATCTAGCAAGTGGAAAACATGGTGACAGAATCACTATTATACATTGTAATGAATCTAATTATATCATGAAAATTTTGCCTTGAAAGTTGAGAACAGTTTTTTTAATTGCTTTGTAATGGGAATATGTGGATATGCCCATTCAAATTACTTAGAAATTTATGCAGATAATTCTGGTTGCATGAAAAGAGAAATTTTTTACTTGAAAAATGGAAGTGTTCTTATGAATCAGTGGTAGAAATGCCAGACCTGGTTCTGGTCCTACTTCTGACATATTTTTACCCATTTGTTTTAGTCTGTATTTTAGTCGACTACAGCTGAATGGGAAGCCAAGCTGTCTATTTATACAGAAGCCAGCCCACTTGAAATCTGTCATTCCAAATCATGTTATGTTAAACTATTCATTTATAAGGAAGTGATTAGTAAAATGCAGCTACTAGAGTATTTATTACTTTCAATCTTCTTTCTATTTCATCATCTTTATGCCACAGTACTACTCCTTTAGAAAGGATTAAAGGTAATAACATGATGGCATCTATGTGTTGTAGAAGCTGCACACAATTTCACACCAAGACTCTAGGCTAGGCCAGCAGAGGGTGTGGATGCCTGTGAGTCCAGCACAGCAACTCAATTCAAAGGCCTGCAGTCCCTGGGGGAGAATCTGAGCCCAAGGTTAGACCCCTGGGAGACTGGGCTTCTTCAAACAGGCATTCAGCATCAATGCATAAAAAACCAGTAACTGATACTGGCCCACCAAGGTTCACCTGACCTTGAACCCTGCATGTTGTGCTCAGTCAGGTGTCTTGTGCCACTTGTATTTCCTAGGCCAGGCCCTTCTCCTGGAGCTTGGGCACCTACAGCCTTCCTGTCAACAGCTCTTTGGGTCTCACTTGCCCTTGGAAGTGCAGCCAAAAGTGGCAGTGGTGACACCACCAGTGCCAAAGGACCCATTAATGGCAAAAATGTAAAGAGGCATTGAAGACTGTCTCAAGCTGTGGCAGTTCCAAGAGATACCTACAAGGACATCTTTTTAATGTTTTGCTGTCCTGAATGGAGATTGCAAGGAAATGGCACTAAAGTAGGGAAGGAGGAATTCCTTATCACCTCCTATAGCTGAGCAGCCTTGCAAGAACCCCCTGAGAGAGAGATAAACCTAAAGATGTCAGGAAGCAGCCTGGAATTAAGGCTGCTCTGAAGGAGTCCAAGGCACAAGAGGGAGAGTTCTGGCCATCCACTCACCATCACAGTGAGCCAGTGTCAATGCAGAGGGAGCTGCAGTGATTGCAGAGGCTTTTCATCCAAAACCAGGGCTGCAGACAGGTGCTGGGAATTTGACTTCAGCTCTTCAGTGCCCCAGCCTAATGTATGCAATGTGCCAGGTTTTGTATTCCCTGTGTCCCTAAAAATCATGTGAAACCACATTGTGCTGCCCAGCTTAAGAGAGTAAAATTGTCCCAAATTCTCAGTCAGCAGCCCCTGTCAGACTCACTGTTAGGAACTTTAGCAGCTCATAGAACACACTCTCAGGATTGGTGTCATTTGCTTAGGATGAAGTGTGAGAAAGTGGTTTAAGCTGTTCAGCTGCATCAAATGCAAATATGTTGTTTATATAACTTCCTAATAAACTGTTACCAACATAACATTATTTGGGAAGAATATGCATCCAGGCTAAGTAAGCAACATGCTTGATATGAAGAATTTCAATTTTAAGTATTTCCATCTGATAAACATTGCTTTACTTGGGTTCTTTCACCTGAAGATTGCTGTTAGTGCTGCTTTGGTTGTCACTTACATGTCTTTTTTAGTTTTCTAAAAATTACACCAAATTCGTGTATGTATTTAATACCTTTTCAGCTTTCCTTACCTCAGGTTCCAGTAGCTGTTACTGAAAAAAAAAACAACTTGATTTGCATATTCAGTGAATGGACAGTAATTGGGATTCTGACAATAACCACAGTAAAACATAAGTGGTCATGACCACAAGTTCTGCTTTCTGTGCTTTCTTGTGTGCTGCTTTTAAGGGGAAATTGGGCTTATAGTATTTTATTTGGGGAAACAGAAACAGACATCCTTTCAAGCTTCCACTACATTTTTCCTGGTCATCCTTAAATTGGGCAAATAATAGTGATTCCCAAGTTCAGTTCTTAAGCTTTGCCTTGTGCTCTTTTTTTAAAGTTGCACTTCTGTGCTAATGTGAGGCTGTTCAGAGTAACCTGTGGGCTCAGGCTGTGGCTGGCATGAAAAGACAGATCCAGCACGAGTCAGTGCTGTACACACAGACCCCTGGGCAGTGGCTGATCCCCCCCAGCTGCACTGAGGTCAAACCTGCTTGGGACACAGCTGGAGGAACATCACTGCAGGTGGCAACTGGGCAAGCACTGCTGCACGATGGAAGAACATCCTGCTTTGTCTTTACTTCATTAGGAGAGAGGCTCAAACTTATTCCTTAAATCTGTTGGTTCAAAAGAATTTTGTATTTTCAACCTGAAATGGTTAATTATGATTATTTGATGTTTACAACCTATCTACCTGAACAATTCTTTTCTGTTCTGTTACTTTAGCAAACTTAAGGCATTTGCTCTGCTGCTGGAGAATACTTTTTTTTATTTTCACAGCCTGGAGCCACCTTCTGTCTCATATCATTGTTTTTTATGTGTGGCTAAACATTTCTGTTCTCTCTGCCTAGTTAAAATCTAAGTCTGAAAAGGTGTCTGTAAAAACTGCTTTTTCTTTCTGTGCCTGGGTTACATGATGTTTGTCTTTTGCCTCTTGTGGAAGCATTAAACATTACACTAACGAATGAATTGTAAAACTATGGTTATGGATTTTTTGTGTCTATCTCTCAAAACAGTTGTACTTCCTCCCAGTCTCCACATTTAAGGAGAACTAAAACCATGTGCAACTAAACTGACTAAACCTAATGAAAGCATAAAAACAGAAAAAACCCCAGTGGAGACAGAGAAGGCAGTGAGCACTATTTAGAAGGGGCTAAAGGCTTATCTGGCTTAAAACAATTCAGTGTTAATGCAAACCAACGATTCAGAGCTGGTGTCAAGTTCTGAAAGTGAAATTGCATTGCTGCCCCCACGGGCTCTTGGTGCCCACCCTGATTCCCTGCTGGTCCAAGCTGGGCACCAGAACAGGGCCCACAGCAGCTCCTGCTGAGCCTGGAGCCCCATGTGGATATTGAGCTGAGCCAAGACACCCAGCCTGGGAGCAGGAAAGCAGCCCTGACCCTCAGGGCAGAGCAGTTTAGGTGTACTGTGATTTTGTGAGCACACACAACAGATTTATCTGACTAAACCCAACTAAGAAGCCAACAAGTGACAGATTTAAATAAATAGTATCAACACAGATATCCTGCTACAGTCACCATGACTTTTGAGGAAAAGCATAATACAAAACACTTCAGTAAGAAAGGGAGTCAAGATTTTTAGATGTAGATTAAAACATCATCTCTTTAGTACACAAACTTTATTTCTGTACACGAGCAGCACTGGTGAAGCACAGGAGTTCAGGTTCATCTGTAACTGAGAAATGTGCATTTCTCCCTTAGGCCTCTTAAAGCTCTGAAGACTACTGTGAAACAGCACAGTCTGTCTAATACTGAGACAGCCTGTATAACAGTATAATATATATAGTGTAATACAGACAGCCTGTATAACAGTATAATATATATAGTGTATAATAATATAATATATATAGTGTAATACAGACAGTCTGTATAATAGTGAGACACCAACACCACTACTTCATTAATCATTCACCATGGCTGACAGGGACTGTCTCACATAAAAAGTAGTTTTTGAAGATCTGTTAAAATGGGTCAGAACCACATGAGCATGGAAGCACAGATTGTTGTATCAAACTCCTACCTGCTTACATTTAGAAATTTCAGAGGTGCAGGTTTCCAAACACTTTAGGCTTACTTTGTGAAAACAACTAGCATTTTTAATTAGCATTTTGAACCAAAGAAGCGTGCTCATTTAATCACCTATTGGATTGGATTCTTCTTTCCAGCAGACCCACACTATCAAAGTTCTAGCCAGTTCACAAAACTGATAATTCCTTTTAATATTAGGCCTACAAACCCCATGCCCAGTGTTTACTATTTGAATTTTGATGGCTTAGTGAGGTAAGTAAAGATCTGCTAAACATCTTGGCAGCTCAGGCACAAAAGCAGAATGTGCTGTCCTGTCCCTCAGGGATGTAACATTGGCTGGCTCAGAGTAAAATGTTACCTGGTGATCACACACTGTGGTCACTGGAAAAGCACACAGCCCCATCCAGGCTAATGCCAGTGACACATCCCAGCACGAAAAGTTTTCAGTCCTTAAAAAATATTGCTGTATGATAAATTTAGGCATTGGAATCAAGCATCTGAAGAAATGACACTTAACAAAAATTCTGATACTTAAGACACAATCATAAAGCAGAATTCTGTTCAGCCATTTAAAACAGGTGAGGACAAAACCCCTGCCAAATTATCTTCAAAAGTGGTTTAACAACAGAAGCCCAGAGAAAATACTTAATTCCTGTCATATTACTTCCATTGCAGAGTGTGTGTGAATACAAAATTAAATTAAAGCATTATGTATATGCAGTGTAAGGATTAAGGCCAGCCAGGTTAACATACAGCTCCTACTGATGTCCAACATCCCGAGGGCTTCCTGAGGGGGCTGTTCTTCCAGAATCTGGCTGGATGCAAAGCACAAAGAACCAGAGCCAATATGTTCCTTCCAAGAAGAATGCACTTGGCACATACAGCTCTCCAGGGATGGGACTGAACAGCTCAGTTCAAACCTGTGACAGAGATCTCAGTGGTTGCCCTGGTTTCCAGAACTGGAGAGAGAATGGCTTAGAACACCCTTCTAATTCTGTATAGAATTTTCTTTAAAGGAAAGATAAGGAAGGTAAATATACCATTTCCCATGGAAAAAATAAAAGAACCATGCCCATCACATTGATATGGTGCCTACACTTGAAACCTAGTAAATATAAAGGTTTGCTAATTGCTCTGGGTCACCTACCTCCTTGCTGTGCCTGTCAACTGGTCATTTATCCATTCTAAATTCCTGATCTGTTAATGAATTCCTCTCACATTTCTGCCTTGGCTTCGAAAGATCCAGACAGATAAGCCAAGTAACTAGAGAGAGGAAAGAGTTACATTAATTACATATTTCAGTTCTTAAAACAAGGAAAAATTAAGAAAAAATATTCCAAACCTTAGCATTCTTAAACATTAAAATACCATCAGAAACATGATGAAGTAACTTGGGGGAAAAGTGTTATCACACTTCTCTGAAAATAAAAATCCTTTCCCTTAACAAACCTGCTCCTCAGTATTGTCCTCTAAGAATTAAGAGTTGTTTAATTTTTCCTATCACTGCAAAACGTTTTAATTTATTTGTGTACCTACAAGAGGTCAAATCAGAGCAAGGTTTTGGGTTTTTTTGCAGAGCTTCATTGAGGTACCTTGCTGACACCACCCTTCAAAATTTAAGAGAGCTCTGACTCACAGTGCCACACTTTTAACCACACCACCTGTACAATGCAATTTTATTTGGATCAAAACTCAGTTTTCAGACTTCTGTGCTACTAAAGCCAAAAGATTCCTTAAGCTTAAAAGAACTCTGACGTTTCTTCCAAAGTAACTTTATTGCACAATTCATACACAAAGTTTAATATGAGGAATGTTCTTAGCTATTAAAACCATCTCTAATGCTTCAGTTACAATTTCACATTAAACCTGTAAGAAATGTTCGCTTAACACAAGAAAGTTAATTTGTTCTAATGCCCCCCACCAACAGCTATTTGCAGTAATTCACATTTTCAAGGTCAAGCTTTTGGAACTCATTGCCATGTCCATGCCAATAGATTCCTTTTCCAAAATTGTTTGCTGAATGTTGCACTTCAGACTAAGTAATACCAACCAGTACCAAACTAATAGTTTTTCAGTGTTAAAGTATCTATTTCTCCATATAACATACAGTACATATATTTTACAAGGCACACATTACAGTATCTACATCACAGCAGTGTGAATTACAGCAACTTAATTTAAAAAAGCTGTACAGAATACAAAGTTTACTTTTTCACTATTTAAATAATTTTTGCATTAGTTTATATTGTAATTGTCATTATGCTGCAATTAACAACCTGTTTGCATCATTATAAAATTACATTTTAAGAAGTTCATTTAAGTTCTCAGCAGAAAGTCAACTTATAAAATCTCAGTTCAGAAGTATAATTCTTGAAGTACTTGAAAAATAAAGTTAGCTTGAAGCTTTCATTTAGATGTTCTTTCTGTTCCAGTGATATAAAAAGTTTAAAAAATTCAAAGGTTATTTGAAAGTTCTGAACGTGGACTAATGCAAGCTCAAAAAGCAAAAAGAAACCAAACTGGTGCATTAGGAATATTTGCACATGTTTGAGTGGGAAATCCTGGGCCAGTAACAATTTCCAGCCCAAACAATAACCACCTTTATGCAACCAAACACTCCATACATTTACTGAAGAGTATCTCATTGCTATCAATGGCTTAAGAAAAGAGGAAAAATAAAATAAAGAGTTCTCAGCTATATACACTCCTAAAAGGATTTTTCCCCAGCTAAATACAGATTTACACACTAAGCCATACCAGCTCTCAGATGACAGACACATGAAGGCTATGCTGCTTCTCTGTCTTAAAACCTAGGATAAATTTGACAATGGTGTCACAAGCCAAGCTCAAATGGGTGCCATATGCTGTGCACATTCTTCAACAAATTGATGCAATTAAGTTATTTTGTAGCCAATTAAGAAAAATAACCTAAATGTGCATATCTACATGTGCACATGCCTTTTAGTTCAGAACCTGTCTGTGACAAAAGGACTTAAGCCTTATGGCATCATGGAATTTTGACAGGTATGATAAGGAAAAATGCAGTCTCACAGTAAGCAAGATTTATGCTGATATTTCCTCAAATGCTACACTTGAATATTTTAACTTGAGGTTACTGAGTGAGAAAAAGTAGTATTTGTTAAGATATATATATATTTATAAATTAATTCTCTACAGTAGCCATTCATTTCCATAACACTACTTATGCATAAGAGGCTTAAGATGGGTTTCCTGAATACTAACAGTTTTAGACTGTCTAAACTCAGGTCTTTAAAGACTTTATTCTGTTAGACATAAAATACTGCTGCACTCCAGTTGTGATATCCCTTTCCAGGCTGTCACATGCACATCTCACTCTAAGCCACATTATTGTTAAAGTTTCCCTCTGCTACATGAAAGCATATTGCACTTGTAGATAGAAAGTAAAGCACCCTTGCTTAGATTATCACTTGTAACTCTTCATATACCTTTAAACTCTGATCTCATCACTTCAAAAACTCAAGAGGAGCAAATAAAACCACAGCATCAGACTAAACTACACATTTAAGTGCTATTTCAAATAAAGGCATTATCTTCATATATGCCCAATGTTTAGAAATAATTTTAGCTGTTCTTTATCAAAAACTACTGAGAAACTGATTTACTGCTTTTAAGATTGTGTATGAAACTGTTTAATGTTTCCAAGCTAATAAGACTATGCTAAATATCGTTTTTTAAAAATGTTCTAAGAGATTAGTCTTTTTAGAAGAATAAGGGGAAGTGCACGAGTACATTTACAGACCTGCCTACACACTCTAAAACAGATTTAAAATAATTAATACTAAAAGTTGTTACAAATCAGATTAAGTGTCTGTAAACACTAAGAGCAGCAATAACTTCCTACTGAAGAACAGGCAGTGGGACATCTTCAAGTTTCAAGAGTAAAATTTCAAATTAGTAACAACTAGTGCTAACTCCTCATCTTTATCCACATTAGTTGTGAATAAGGGACTGCTTTTAAGGGTAGGAACTGTGAGGTCAAGCCATCTGCCATGGTTCATCTCTGCAGCAGTACACTGTGATGCTCAAACAGCAGTTTGCAGTTGTAGTTGTGCTGTTACAAGTTTCTTCATCGAGTAGTTGAATTGTTAATTAATATCAAACGCTGTTGTTAAAGTAAACCGTGTTAATGATCAAAGAATTTGCTGAAGAACAGTTTAATAATGAAGACTGCACACATATAGACTGCTCAGACACCCTGTGCTTTAGGAGAGCAGTGCAGACTCCCAGCAGCCAAGAGGAGAGGGAAAGGACAGACTGTGGAAGAACGGCGAGGAGAGGTAAGACAAAAAAACTTCAAGTGGTTGTGCCATGATCAGCGTGGTGGGCAGGGTCAGGGTCTGTGGGGCTGCCCAGCCTCATCCACCATGTTCAGGATGTAAGTGGCAATGTCATCTTCTGTAGGGGCCTCTGACACCACCCAGGAGTCTCCTGCCCCGGTCACCTGCCGGCGGCACACAGGACAGTTTCTGTGGCGGTCACTCCTGTGAGGAAGGCACAGAAAGGAGTGGTTTCACTGATGGTCTCTTACTGGTGAGAAAAAACCAAAAGAGCCCCCAAACGGACAAACAAAACCCAAACAAAAACCAACCCAGAGAGAACTTCAAGAATGATCATATTAACTGGATTAGGCCACCCATCTATTTTGTTTGTTTAAAAACTTCTTTCTTTGTGAGGGAGACTTCTTGAAGGGAGCTCCATTCTTTCAGTGAAAATTTGGAATCACATTCCTCCTAATCATTTGCTCAGGTCAGACAGGATGCATCAGGCTACCTGGCCAGAAAGTTTAAATGGAAATTCACTGTCTAAATTAATTCTTCCCATCTTCAGGAATTCAGCTGAGGTCCTTAGAAGTCGACCCCTACAGGCCTCTCTAGACAAAGAGAAGAAGGAGCCTTTTCCTGGGTCATGCAGCCCACAGAAGTTTAGAACTGGTCCCTCAGAGTTCCAACCCCCTCCACCACCTCAGGGCTCCCAAACACTTAAATTTGAGCTGGGAGCCTCTGTTATGCCTAAATTAAGAGAAGATCAACCTTAAAAATTACAGACCCCGAAAAAAGCATGGTGTAACTGGAACTTTGTGAGGAGTTCAGCTGATTCATCAGCCAAAGCAGCAAATAATCCATTCTCAAGCACAGTCACTAAACTAAGCCTTGTCTTGCTGATAGATGTTAGGATATTTTCCCAGAAGAGAGAAATGACTTGCTGTATTGAGATCCAGTGATTTTTTACAATGTTTTTTTCCTTGTGAAAACCTGGTGTTTGTTACAAAAGTAACTTCCTTGGTAAGTCTTCCAAAAAGCCACAAAACAAATTCTTATGCACAAATTATCTGTAAACCTATTTGCATTAACTAGCCAAAAAAACTCTTTTTCAACAGAGTAGGTCTGTGTTCCCTAATGCCAGATTCCCAGGACATCTCCCTAATCCTTGAAGGCCTGAATGGTCAGACAAGAGCTGTGTTCCTCCACAGAGGAATTTTTCTCTCCCACTTTTCCAAGAATTGGTGTATCAGAGATGCAGAAGCTGCAAAAGTGTAAAATTTACTGTGATGCTGAACATTGTAAGCTACATGTTACAGACTTACATTTGAAGGTGCTGCCATTGAGAAGAAATATCTTTCTGGAAGAGTCTGATATATTTAAATCAGTAAAGTGAAGTGAAAGCATAACATATGGAAAAAAATCCCTCTGATAGTCATTACCCAAGTAAGTGACAGACAGTCCAACTTGCCTTCATATTTGCACAATCTTAACAAGCCTTAAATGAGATTTTGTGAAGCATAACATGCCAGCATCTGCATATACCATCTTCTCAAGTTTCTGAGCAAGACTGTAACAATTCAATTTTAGAAGAATAAAAAGATGTAAGAAATTACAAAACAAATGCTGAACAGCACTTTCACATCTCCTTTTTACAAAATTTCCTGCTTTCCTTCTGCTTCAGTCTGATTTTACTCAAGCTTATTATGCATTATATATACATTAACTTGGAAATATCTCCAGACCTTAAATTATATGGCAACGATAGAATCTGTCAAACCAAACTGAAACATACCTACTATAAAATAATTAATATCCTTTCATCTATATTACCATTTATCAATGCATTTCTGGCAGAAACTGTGAGCACACGGCAGGATTAAATCAGCACGTCCATCCATGCAGATGCAACATTCCTCTTCATCTGTCAGCTGTTTAACCCTGCAGAAGAGAAGACATTGTTTTCTTCCAGATGTTTGATATTTATGCCCCAGTAACTACACCAGTTACTACATTTTCCATAATAATTAGTGATGGCCAGAAAGAAACACCTGTGTTTTTAATCTGTGAATGGACTACTTATGTCACCCCAGCCTAGGTCAGCAGAGAACTAAACTAAGCCAGAACGTGCATTAATTTTTTGTGTTAGTATTTGTGTCAGGTGCTTCTGGTGTTGCCAAGGGTTCTGTAAATCCCTTTTCATATCAACAAGGAAGTGTGAGGAGTTGTAAGTGGTTCATATCAGATGACTGAGCAGAAGAACAGAAACACTGTTTACATTAAAGGCAGGAGAAGAACCTGCCTTCCTGTCACTGCATGTAAGGCTGAACTAGTTCATCATGAACTTTGCCAAATTTCTGTGTGCTGGTTTATATCCTAGACAAAAACATGCATGTCAAGAGGATCCCTACCAGAATGCACATTCACTCATTTCACATGGCACCAAAATGCCAACAGCTGAACTGCTCATTGATTGAAAAGGCTGATTTTAGCTTGCAATATGCTCCAAAGGATTGCTCCTCAGATTAGGATTCTCAAAATGACTCTTACACAGCTTTTCCAGTTAAACTCTCAGGTGTTTCTGTTGGTGGGGAAATTTAAAAACTATCTTACTACCCAAGACAGATGTTGACATTTTATATCTTTTTCCCAAATAATAGGTATCTGTATCTAAAGCTCTTGACAGAAGTATCTCATAAATATTTGCACCATCAAGACTTCTCAAGTGCAGAAAGGTGCAGAGAATCCTCAGCTTTCACTGGCCTATCCAGACATGTAAAGTTTGCCATTTCATAGTCACAGCTCACATCCAAAACAACCAGGGAAGTGTTCTAAAGTGCTTGGGCTTTCCAAAAACCCTGATTTGGGAGTCCCTGTTCTGACCTGAGGGTCAGAGATAGGATTCTAGAAAAAATTGGTATTTCAGGAGTCAGTCCACCTTAATGTCAACTGACCAGATCATTTTTTCTTAGGCATCTAAGGCAGCTTGTCAAATAGAGATTCATTTTTGAACTGTACAGAATAGCCAGCTACTGAACAGCAGTCAACATGCTTTTGTTTTATCTTTCAGTAGACCCTTTTCAATTTGCTTTTGGAGAAATTACTCTAAAATTACAGATTTATTTTTTTTTACAGATGGTAATTTGCATACAATGAGAACAACAGTTTCCAAGAAGCCTGCTCACTGTGTTCTTTAGACCTGTTCCCTCTCATTTTCCTCCCCATGCAATTCTGAGTCCTAACCTTTAATAGCACTTGAATTTCTGAGATTTGCTGGTGTCTATACAAGCAATTATACATGGCCTATTTATAAAGTTTCTGCAAAGTCAGCTTTAGTCACAGGGCTAAGGTCATGAAGAAACAGTAAAATAAAGGAGTGACAGACTGAGGAAATGCTTATCTCTTCATTATCAGAAAGCATAAACCACTTAGATGTATTTTGAATGCTCTGAATAGGAAGTGGATGTTGTAGAGGCATGGGGTATTATTCTAGTGGAAAAAGTTAAGAAGAATGAAACAGATAACACTTGCTATTTTTAGATAGTGAAGGCCAACTTTGCAGAGCTGAAAATTGTCTAAAGGTGAGAAGAACTGAGAAAAATTGGTGGTTATCACAGAAAAATAAACAGATTTCATTGGTGTTCACTGAAGATGCTTCAGCCTGTATTTTCCTTAGCAACTTAAAAAACTTGGCTAAAACTCAAGCTCACCAAACTGCATCGTATTAGCAAAGTATAGTCATTTTTTATTTGTGACTGATACTGCCTCAAGTGATGAAGTTTATAAACAAGAAGAATGCTCATCTCCCCTGTCCCCAAGTCTGAAAAACTGAAAAAGAAATTCACATAGGAAACTTTTTCTTTTCCTCATTGACTTTAGCAATATATAAAGTTGTTTTGCATAAGTATCTGGGGTCTGTGTTTGCTTTGTCTGTTTGAAGCAAAAAACCATTTCCAGCAAAACTTGTGTTCTGGTATAACCTCGAGAAAGCAATTTTCCTGTTCTTTCTCAAACATGTTCACAATTTACAGGAAATGAAATGAAAATAAAACGTTCTGCAATCCACTAACTTAGAAAAACCAGTGGGCTCTGTGGAGTGACAACACAGGTGACCCCTTTTTCATGCCAAGAGCTCAAGTGTGACACCCAGGCTGTTTCATTAAAATACCTGGCTGCCAGCTCTGCACTGGTGAGCACAGAGAACTCTACCATTTACTACCTTTTCTTGTAAAGCCTAGCCCTACCTCACTTTAAACTGAGACAGAACCCTGAACTTATTCAGGAAAAGTAAGGAATTACTGGTAGCAGCTACACTTCCACACAGGGAAAGGGTGACAGGCTTCTTGCTGCTACATTCAGTTTGAACTGAAGTTATTGCAGGTGTTGACCTCAGTCTTTTGTTTTTCCTCTGGTTAACAAAGCAGAAGGTCAACGTGAGTGAGACAGTTCACATTTTTCCAGTCTTACAAGTTAAATTATTACCATGATTGATGGGTTTCTAGTGGCAACAGATGGGAACTTTCACATGCCAGAATGTAAGAGGAAGAGAAAGTTTAAGTGGAACAATAACAAAATCCGTTTAAACAAACACTGTCAACCCCCCCCGGATTTGTAGCTGCAGCTGATTCCATTTCCTCCCGTTTTCTTATTCAGGAGATTGAACATATACTATGTTCATATCAGAAGTGATCCCTAAAAGGGTTGTTCTGAAGCTAAGGCATGGTAACACCATATTCCAGGATTTCACCCAAGTGCACTGCAGCTCCCTTGGTGCAAGGGAAGGTGTCTGCTCATGTTGGTGATGGTACAAAGCCTGCAGCTGCCAACAGCGAGCAGCTCTCATCACAGCAGGTATTTGTGGTTCAGGTTTGAAGCACAACTCCCAAAATGCTTTTGCTGTAACTGGGTGAGAAGCTGAAGTGTATCAAAATACCTTCCCATCCACAAGCTGGCCTGACACGAATTCAGAGACATCCAACTCTCAGCAGCTTCTTCAGAAGTACCACTCTGTGCAAGAACTCCTGCTGCTTGACTGGTGATGTCTTTATAAAGTTGAGTGAACTGATATAAGTTCAAGATTCTGGAAGCTTCCACGATGCCACTTGTTTTATTTATCTTAAGATACAAGAATTGTTTACAATTACTAATCAGACTTGAACTTGGCATTGCTCAGAATGTTTGTAAAGCACTGCATTTCTCATGTAAGGCAGCAGTCCCTTCCTAAGTGTCCTTCATCAAATTAACAGGCTGCAGTCTGCCTCAGCAAGAGCCAGGACTGCCCACAGCTGCTGCAGCCTGAGGAACACCACAGGCAGCACACCACAATTTTAGGGCAAGGCAATTGCCATCACTACTCAAAAATGGATTCAGGTGTAGGGAGCTAAAACCCAAAAAACTGGGCTGAACTTGGAAGCAAGCATAGGATAATCAGTCATTTGATATCTGAACTTAAAAATTGCCTACAGTGATGGCTGCCTTAGTGAAATCTAGGGAGTAAACAGAAAACTACTAATTGTTGGTTTCAAACAGAGTTTAAGGGTTGCCTTGTTTAATCACATGTTAAGATTGCTCAAGGGATTCAGGATCATTAAATGACTTCATCTGATAGAATAGAGGGGGAAAACTCCTCATTAGACAGAAAAAATTTTGTAAGTTCGTCATAAAATAAATCTTCAGACTGGTTTTCTAAGGGATCAGACTATGTACAGGCACACCAGCTCAACTAATAATACCTGGAAGACGTGATTAATTTCTACTACTAATTTCAAAATCTACAGTTTGCAGTTTGTTGTACCATTGGATTACTTGACTTCACAGATCACCTGAATATGTAACTGAAGGGCTCTAAGTGCTCCACTGGAAGGCATCATTCCTTTAAACTTAGTTATAAAAATGTTTTTGTTGCTATGCTTTTTGCAGAAACTTAGAATTTACACTTAATTTATCTCCAACAGAATCTTTGAATGCATCATCTGTATCAAAACACATGTGGCAGGTATCGGATTTTACAAGTAAAAAACTGACAGCCCTCAAATCTTTGCATACAAACTGCCCATCAAATTCAAATATTCCCACTTACTTTGGTACATATTATCCTAACGATCACCTTCCAGAAAGCAGAAGAATCAGACCCAGGCTGCACTTCAAATAACAGATGTTTGTCTTGTCCAGAAGCCAATTTTGCAGTACTGAAACAAAGCAACATCAGTTTAAAGCCATGAGCTGGACCTGCAAAGATCAGCAACCTCAGCCAAGTGGGATTATTTATGGTTCACCTGTTTGCTCCCTATCCTTCAAAGAGATTTTACCAATACTGCCCAGGGGCATCAAAGTATAGAGTAATGACCTTCTAAGCATGTCACTGAATACACAATCCATTTCACTTTCAATTCCACAGCAAACTTCACAAAATGTCGTGCAAGTCGTTTGATCCAGCATCAGCAAGCAGGTGTACTTTATAGACATTTAAATTCATATATACTCTCACTGTTATTACACTAATCACACTAATTGTCTCCAATCTGAAAAGGTTATTTCCTCAACAGGTATGTAAAAAATACCTCTGAATACCAGCAAATGCTGATGAGGTGTATTTTTGTTAGCATATATTAATAATGAAGTAGTCAGGTGAACGTGTCAAGTGACCTAAGATTTGTTTCTTTAATGGAACACAGACACAACAGTCTATTCCATAAGAATCAGAATGCATTCAGGCTTAAGTAAACACTGGAAATAAAGAAACCACTTGAATAACAGTATTTTGGAATGAATTATACTGATATATACCTGGAATCTCAGGCAAAACATCAGGTTATGTTCTCCAAAACCTATTTATGTGTCTACCCAGAAGACAGCTATGTGTTCTTCAAGGTCATTCACAGAAGTATGACCCTCTCCAAGATAATTTCTAAACTGAATACAAATTCACATTTTAGTTCAACAGCAAACATTACAAAGCCCTTATCCACTTCATTTTATCGCTCTCATTTTATACCATAAATACAGGCTAAAAATGACAACGCTGCTTTTTTACTCATTTCCTTTTACTGTCATTGTACTGCTCAAACAAAAGGCAGGCTATGAAAAATCTGACAAAAAAGCAGCCTTTTGTTTGGGATTATCTAGGTCACTGGTTTGGGACAGTAAGATACATGTCACCCCTAATGAGGAGCAGCCTTGCATGTTTGCAGAGGTGACAAGGGATGGTCACAAACAGCTCTGCCTCTGGTGCCACCCTCCTCATGAAGATGTGCTGTCCCTCCCAGGCTCCTATTGCTCCTTCCTACCCAAACCGAGGAGCAGACAGGAAGCAGCATTCCATCTTCAGGTGGAAGGGAGAACAATAAGGGACACAGGTGACACTAATGAAAACATGATGCTAAATCATCTCTTGTGAACTTTTAAGAGAGAGCAACATTTGCTAGAAGAAGAGTACTGGACAAAAGGCTTTAAAGTATAATTACAACCATTATAAAAACATAAAGAAATGAAGGAAACATTTCAAAACCACCAGGCCAGTTCTGGCTTAGCCAGCACACAATAATATATTGCATACAAGGTTTCTGTAAAACACACACAAAAAAAAATAAAGAAAGAAGCAAAGTAAGGCTTACATATCATTAAGTTCAGCTACTCTTCCCAGAAACTCTTCATAGGTTAGGAAACCACTTTCTTGAACCAAAGAGGCATGCTTTGCTACTTTTTCTGGCAACTTGTTAATTACAGTTTGTGTGTGGTTTGAAATCTGTTGACCCATGGTGAAGTTCTTCACCTCAGTTCTGTAGAGAGAAGTTCTCATTCACTTGTAGTCTCTGCTAAAAATATTTGAGAGAGTTACATTTGTGTGGTTTTGAGTGGCTACTCCCTTTCTTTTAGCCTACAGTAACTATTCCACAAGTAACAAAACTTGAACAGTCAGATTAGAAACAACACAGAACACTTTGAAGAGTCTGGAATGTTGCATTATAATCTTACTAAAAATGTACTATTTTGCTTACAGCAAAACTTCTATTAAATAGAGATATCTTTCCACACAGATTCAGCTCCAACACACATATAAATACATCCAGTGGAATGGAAAAAAAATCTTAAGATGACAATGGTAATTTATGACAATCTTTGTTTATTCTTAATATTTGTGCATGGGAATGTCAGAATATCTGCAAATAAGCATATCAATGTCTGTTTATACACAGACATCACATTAGGAACCAGCTTTCCTCATCAAACTTACACTGGCAGATCAAAAGAACTCCCACAGCATTCTGAAACTGGTAAGCCAAGGAATCCATGTCAGTACAAACCAATTTAGAGACCTCTCTATCTGCACAAAACCCTCGACTTTAGGATGTATTACAGAACTGACTTGCTCAAATGCCTCCAACTCCAACTTACTTCATCTTTCCTTCACACCCAAATGTTTTTCCCCGAAAGTTTGCCCAAGGATTAATGCCATGCCCTCCAACTATTTATCTACTTACTCCCCTTGATCCCTCTGCATTTTACTTCCCCTGAAACTCCTCTTTGCAGAGTTCATTGTTCATCATGCAAACCAGTTGTGTCAGGCCCTTTTAAGACTTCTACAGATAGAGGAGTGCAAGGGCAAGCAAACTGCAGAACATCCACCTGAGCTCAAACACGGAGCAATGTGACAGGAGCTGCGTTACCAGCCCCCGATGACACACATCACAGAGAAAGCAGCACTTTGCCCCGCAGGCAGCTGTAGCAGCACTCGGGCTTAACCCCAGCCAGAACAAAATTCACAGCTGTTGAGATCTCACCACGGTGTGAGAAAAACACATCACACCAAGCGAGCTCCTCTCAGACCATACCTATGCAATTTCACCACAGTAAGCTTCCAATTTATGGTTGGAATTGTGACCAATTTCTGTCCCCACACAGATATGCTTCCCCTCCAGCCACTTTTCCCTTTCCCGATGGCTCCAGTCGCTTCCTGCGCTGTTCTCCGGGGAGTTTGTGAGCGCACGCCCAGGCCACCCACGTCAACAGCACAACCTGTCACCTTCCAGACCCCTCCTCCCGGATCCCCAGCCCCGTGCTCCTCCGAGCCAGCACCGTGCCTCCTGCTCAGCACCCAAACCCCAGCACTGAAAACACTGGCGAAAAACACCTGCGAGGGTGCCCGCAGAACTGGATATCGGGAAAAGTTTCACCCCGACGGTGGTCAAGCACTGGAACAGTCTCCCCAGGGAAGTGGTGACAGCACCGAGCCTGAGAGAGTTCAAGAAGCGTCTGGACAACACTGAGGCACATGGGGTGACTCTTGGGGTGTCCCGTGAAGGGCCAGGAGTTGAACTTTCATCCCTATGAGTCCCCCTATGAAGTGTTCCCTCTAGTTCACCCCTCAACACCCGACACACTCCGCGTCACCCACAGACCCACGAGGCGCCCCGAGCGGCGCGGACGGGCCCGGGCACAGCCCCTCATGGGCCTCGCCCGCCCTCCCCCGGTGCGGGCCCTCAGCGCCGGACGCGGGATGGGCCGCGCTCAGCCCGGCTGCGTCACGGCCGCCCCTCCCGCTCCCCCCGCCCGGCCCAGCCCTTCCCTTCCCGCACCCGCCGGCTTCCCCCGGGCCGGGCCTTGCGCTCGGCGCCGAGGGGCGGCAGGGGGCGGGTCCCTCCCGCCCCGCTCACCGCATCCCCGGCACGTCCCGTGGAGGAGCCGCCGCCGCCCCACGGGCACCGCAGCGCCGCGGCCGCTCCCCCGCGCCGCGCAGGCGCGCGCTCGGCGGCGGCGCGCGGGGGTGACGCAAGCCCGCGGCTCGCGCCGTTGCCGGGACACGGCGGACGCGGGGCCGGGAGCGGGACCGGGAATAGGACCGGGAATAGGACCGGGAACGGGACCGGGAACAGGACCGGGAGCGGGACCGGGGCCCGAGGCGGCTCTGCCGTGCCGGCTCTGCCGTGCCGCTCACAGCACTCGTCGTCCTTCCCTCCGCCCTGGTCGCGGCTGTAAGGCCACTGCACGCAGGGCAGCCAGCGGTGGCGTTGTCGCTGAGCGGAGCGGGCCCCGCCAGAACATGAATAGAATGACAGGATCAGTTAGGTTGGAAAAGACCTCTGAGATCAGCGAGTCCAAGCTGTGACACCGCCGTGTCAACCATGGCACTGAGTGCCACATCCACCTCCCGGGACCGTGACTCCACCACCTCCCTGGGCAGCCCATTCCGATGGCTGATCAACCTTTCTGTGAAGAAATTCCTGCTATTGCCGAACCTGAACCGCCTCTGGCACAGCCTATATCCTCTCATCGTGTCCCTACTTTCCTGGGAGAAGGGACCGAGCCCATCCTGGTTACAGCCTCCTTTCAGGCAGCTGTAGAGTGTGATAAGGTCATCCCTGAGCCTCCTTTTCTCCGGTCTGAACACGCCCGGCTCCCTCATCCCAGTTGTGCTCCCGACCCTTCCCCTTCTCTGGATTTGCTCCAGCCCCTCAATGTCCTTCCTAAACTGAGGGGCCCAGATCTGGACACAGCACTCGAGGTGTGGCATCCCCAGTGCCCAGTACAGGGGACAGTCCCTGCCCTGCTCCTGCTGGCCACACTATTGCCCATTCTGACACAAACAGAAGTGCTGTAGAGAGTTGGTTTATTTAAGAAACACTCTAATAGCTGCACTGACAAAAATGGGATCGCTTTTCACCTTGCTGCACTGCCCAGGGTTCACAGCGCCCTCACTCTTAACTATGATCTCTCTTAAATAGTGATTTAAATGATGCTGAATGGAGTCCGAGTGCCTGGCTCAGTGGGATCATCCCAGGCCACAGCTGCTGGTGCAAATCCCGGTCTGCAGGGAGGATGTGGGCGGTGGATGTGAGTGGCAAAGGTCAATGCTCACTGACCTTTGCACAAACAAACCCCAGCACCCATAAAGGACAACAAGCCATTGAGAAACAGACATCCTAGAACATCCTCTAGGTCATCCACATCCTGATGCTGCAATATTTAATTCTACTTTTTTTTTTTCCTTAATTTAAAGAGGAGAAAAGGAGTAGTACTTCCCCTTCCTGCCCGCTTCTGTTCACACATGGACACACGTACTTCCCACGGCAAAGGCATCCCTATATTCCAGGCAGGGATTGGGCTGGACTGGAAACCTTGTTGTATTTCCTGCAGGCCAAGCAGCCCTTTTGCCTAAGGTCAGCAAACATCTGTAGCCTCAGTGTGGGAATCTGAGTGGTGTTACCATCAAGTGACGAGTACAGATTGTGCTCTCCTGTTCAGTGGGATAAATTATTTATTCAAAGTGCTTGAGCAGCTCTGGCACATCAAGGAGCTAAAGAACTGTTGAGAAGGTCTCGTTAAAAAAAAAAAAGCACAACACTTGAGAAAAATCAGAAACATAATAAAGAATGTCTCTTAAGTTTCTGCTACCTATAGTTAAGGGTTTGGTGTTTGACACTCTTGGTGAAGATAAATAAATGTTTCCTGTTTGCACTGTAGTAGTGCATCCCTTGCAATTCCATTAGACAATGAGCAGGAATGTTCTGTACTTTCCAATTCCAATGTGACTGAGTTGTGCTAGCTACATAGAGACAATATCAAATACAGTACTTGCTGATTAGTACTTAGAGCTGCCTTTCTTCCATACAGAGCTCCTTTAGCTCGTGTGGTGTTGGCATAAATTGTGTAGTGAAATGGAGGGGCAGATCCCACCATGGGCATTGGGAATGTCAGGACGAAAGCTGAGTTTTTAAAGTACATGATAAAATAAGACACTTAGAGGTTAAGGCAATATCTTGTTAAAACAGGATAGATTTTTTTTTTTTTTTAGCAAGTGAACGTTTCAGGGGGGAAAAGCACCCTTATTTAGCTCTAAAACAACATAATAATTATTTCTTGGCTGTAGGGAAAAGAATAGAGAAACAGGTAATCATGGAAAAGAGAAGCAGAAGGTAGATTTAAAAAACTTCCCAAACTACCTGGAATCCTCCACATTTGCCTGTGTCCTTGGGCCCATTTGCTACTCTGGCACCTTTAGACTGGTGGCTGTGGCTTTTCCTGATGGCCTTGTGCTGTCTACTCCTTCCCTTCAGGATCCAAGGTGTTACTGTGATGTTTTGCAAGGAGAGGAGTTACTTAACTGGCTGCATGTTTTTTCTGCTAAAATTCTGCTGATGCACATCTGAAATGAGCAGTTTTTAGAGCTGTACTGAATCACTTGGAGCCATAAAATATTTCTGAACTATCAAAAAAAAAAAGGCAAAAAGAGTAAAAAAAAGCAACCCAGGGAATGTCTTAAGTATGATGTTAGAAATAGACTATAAATCACTACTAGTAGAATGTAAAAACACTGGGCATTTAAAAATTTATGTGACTGAAAAATATTAAAGTTCATAACCCAGTACCCTACTGTGCTTTCAACCAGTACTGTTGAAAGCTCAATATAGGTGAGCACTTCTATTTCTATTTTAAAAAATATTATTATCTAAGTCTGTGTTTTTCAAACTGCCTGATGAAGAAAAAAAACTTCCTTTGGCATAACAACCTCCTTCACACATACAGATAAGTTATCTAAATTCTTTATTCAGGTAAATATTTGATAAACTGCTCATGTTGTTGTTTTATAACAACTAATTACTCCTGTAACATTAAGGTTATATGAATTCTTTTTACCGTGAGACAGTTTCCATGAGAATAAATTGTCCAGACAAACATATCCACCATAGTTTATTTTTTAGGGAGTACTGTAGACATCCCATACCACCTGAGACCTTTATTAAAGAAGCCACATTTAAGTACACACAAAAGATCTCCAGTATAAGTCTTGTTCAAGGGGTTTTTTTTGTCCCCCTCTGTCAGATATCTGATGTGGAAGAATGATAATGGTTTCAATAAATAAAACAGTAAATTATGATACAATGAAGGTACCTAAGAAAGTTACTCATTGCTGTAAATATATATAGATATATATAGATATAAACAACAGCATCTTTGTACCCTTCTTTGGGCATTGGAATGACAGTGGGATAATCCTTTGAGTTTTTACTCCCTTGTAAACAGAACTGTTTCTTCTGTTTGTAAACAGATATTTTTAAAAACAGCATGCAATTATTGAATGGAAATAAGCTAATCTACATGAGGAAGAACTACAGTGCCAGCATTTTATTTTAGGCATTAGGCTAGCAGACATCCTCCATCCAGACATAAAAACATTTTCATTATATATTGATCCGAATTCCATGCAAATAGTTAACCTAGTGCATGTCATTAATAGCATATTCCTAACTGCTTCTTTATTATAGATGAAAAATGAACTGTAATATGGATTTGTAGAATTTTTTCAAGTAAATAAGATACCATGTTCTTCTGCAAGAATATTTGTTGCCAAAGACGTAATTATTAAAAAGCAAGGTTTCATATGTTAGAGATAGAGAAAATATGAGTATTTACAATCACTTATGTTTAAAAGCACTGCTAAGTTCTGTGTGTTTCATTTTATACTTCCATCAAGAACTGTACATTCTTTCCTTTAAACTTCTGCTTCTAGACATTTTACTGTGGCCTCAGGCTTAGTTTTACACTCTTCTACCTTATTTCCATTATTCTGTGTTTCCTTCTCAGGTGTTTGGTCATTTGATTTTGTCTCTTTGAGAGCAGTAGTTACAACTGTTTCTTTTTGCTTATTCTTGTTTAAAAATGGAAAGGTTTTCTTGTACCTATAAAAAGAAAAAAAAAAAGATAGTAAAGCAGAAATCCTGACATAGTTTGGTAGTATCATTCAAACAGCTGGAATTAAATTACTCTGCCATACTCAAGCAGAAGTCTCTCAGAGGATAGTGGCATGCTAGATCATTGTGCTTTTTCCAGCAGTGTGCTTTCTAAAGAAATATTTTGGTATTTTTAAAAAAAACAGACAATGTGTATTCAGGATTTGTGGTACAGAATGATAAAACTGGGCTGGGGTGTGAGAATTGCACACTTTTCAGTAGCATTTAATGATGCACTGTATTGAAGGTCTTTAAGTTTGACAATTGAGTTCAATTATTTTTTTCTGAGCAAAATCAGAGTACAATAATAAAAACTTTCACTTTGAGTGTGGCATAGGAAAAAAAAAAAGAAGGATAAAAATGCATAAACAGGTTTATATATGAACAGATGCACATTGCAGTGTTGCTATTTGGACACACTTGGAAATGTTTCACACTAGGCATGGTTGACCAATTTAAAATGGGCAATTTTTTTGTGTGTTCCTTTTCTAAAGCAGGGAGTGGCAGCAGTAACAACAAACTTATCTGCATAAAAACAGGGTTTAAGATTTTTAAAATTTGTGCAACACTATTATGTCGTCACCATTACTTCTCTGCCCTTTATTATATATTTTAAATATTCACTGATTGCAGTCTAGGAGTTAATTCAGTCTAAGAGAGGAGGAAAAAAAAAAAAAAGGCAACTTACTTTTTAATATAACAGACTGCTAGAACAACTGAAATAATGAAGAAGATGATTGCCAGTACAAGAAGTGCAGTGGGGATACCTGGAGATAAAAGTGATATAAGCACAGAGTTTTTATTTATGTACTTAAAGCTGATGTTCTGAAGGCTTAAGAGCAAACATTTCTTTGCCTAGTATAAGAGTACATACACATGAACTGAAGAATAGAATATTAGGGAGATCAAAAGGTGAGTACTCCTCATAATTTCTTTCAGGATAGACTAAAACTGGTATTTAGGCCATCCTTGACAGATATTTCTCTAATGTGTCATTGAAGGGTTTTTACAACCTGCTTAGAGAACACATTCTTGTGATTAACTATCCTGACAGTTAGTATGTTTTTCCTCATGTTTAATCTGTTTCTCCACTGCTGTGTGTTAGGATTGCTTACTCACACCTCATATCTGGAGACCAATTCTCCTTAAAACTTTCTTGGCTTCTTTTGGTTTTAAAAACCTGGTGAGTTTTCCATTACACTGAGAGTGTTTGCCAAGATGTTTTCAGAAATTTATTTACTCCAAATCACATTAATCAGAATGAACTTGCACTTTTTCATATTAAAATTTATCATAAAGTATAAAATCAGATCATAGTTCTTAAAAACTATTTTTAAATCCTCTGCCCTACAAACTTTGTTCAGCAAAACCATAACACTCCTCTTCTGCCTCCAGGTTCAGCTACATCAAAAGGGATGGTGGAGCAGCAAACAAAAATAGCAGTGAACAGTTTGACTACTGACTTCTACATAATTAGCTCTTTTCATTAAATAAACACCACATCAGGCCTTTACCTCCAAAAACAGCAGCATCATTCTTGAAGGCCAGGTGGGGAGTGTGCCTGGGGGACTCGGTGAGCAAGGGCTGCTCTGGCTCTGCTGTGCTGGGCCCCTCTGTTGGTAAAATGGTTTCAGTCACGCAGATGACACGAAATCTCTTTTTTGGGAATTGTTCTGACTCAGTCCCAGTCACAGTGGGCACTGCTGTGATGGTCTCAGCCAGATCTGAGGCTGAATGTGCAGTGAAGTCCCTTGATGCAGTTGATGAAGGAAATGTGGTGGTTGGGTCTGGCTGACATGAATTAATCTGGACATCTGCAGCAGGGAAAAGAAATACATGCAAGTTGTGTTGGATGCCAGTTTTGTATTTACTGAACATTAATTTCTTGAAATTGTTCCTCAGTCTTTCCCTTCTGGAAATTCTTATTTTTTTATTCACAAAAGCTTTACCCAAACCAGGCATTCCTATTTCAAATATGTGGTTAAAACCGAGATTATACAGCTTTTATCATTACTCACATTGTTGTACTCCTTTGAGCAAGTGTGGTACTCATTTTATGATTCCATACCAATGACTGTATTCCTCATGAAAACTACTTAGAGTAATACTGCAGATAAAACCCAACAGGATAACCTCCCATAGAGCATATTCAATATTCAAAAATATTTCAATTATTTTATATATATGTTCAAAATATATGCATGTACTGTTGATACTTGAAAAATTATTTTGATTTCCTGTAAAAAAAATGTAGCCCATAAAATTTTCAAATAAATTAGGCAACAGTGTGAGATAATAAAGAGATTTGATTCTAAGTGGGGAGGAGAGGATAGGAAGTAAAAAACTTCAGGTTTGAAGAAAAATAAGTGATTTCCAGAAATTAAGTCATTTTATGGAAGTGGATGTTGTCTGTATAAAAATGTAGGTGCAAGTGAAGTTTTATATGGAACTGGAAAAGCTGAGTTCTGAATCAGAATCCTGTGAAAATGTGAACATTCTGCTTTGCTAGTGAAATCCTGTGTTCTGTAAAGTTATAAAAATTTCACTAAAGCAGCAAGCAGGTTACAACATAACTGCCAGGGAAACGATGTAGGCAGGGTTTTCCAAGTGCATCCCCACGGGAAGTCTGATGACGCAGTCACCTTTACAGAATAAAATGACAAAGGGCAGGGACTTGACACTTTTTCCACTATGAGAAATGAAATTATTTTTCAAGAGTTTTGGCAAGTTTTTTTGGCACGAGAAAGTTGACACAATGAGCTTCTGACAAATATTTTTGAATGAAATGGAAAGAAATGCCCAGAACAGGCAAGAGTTTAGAAATGAAGATAAAGGACTGCAGAATCATCCCAATGTGAAATATACTTTAAATGGTTTTCTAACCATTGAGCAATAGTCTAACAGTATATATGTATTTATTTTCTTTCAATTAAAGCAAAACAAATCAAATAATTGGGAGTTATTTGCTGCCTTTAGCATTATCCAATCTACCCAACACTTTTGATGCAGAATAACACAGATTTAACAGTGAAACACCATTTTGCATAGGCCTTCCTTCTCTCTCCAGTTTTATCCTCAGTCTCTGGCAGCTCCAATGTTCTCAGGCACCTGGCAGGGTCTCAGGTCTTTGCATCTTTGCATGGGCACATCCTGCATCTCCATCTTTCTCCTGCTTTCCAACCCTTGTTCACACATCATTCCTGAAAACTGTCAGGATTTTGGACATATTCTCTTGTTATCTAAAACTCATTGTCAAAGTCTAGGAAATGATTATAAATAATGAAATGATCCTTTATTTGGTCTAATTATTGGGATATTTGTTATGTAATAACCATGGATATGGGACACAAGTAGGCACACAACATCTCTGGTTATTTATTTTTACTTGGTACCACAGAAACCATTAAGAAACAACATTGATCCTTTGTGCTGAGATCTAACTTAAGTCAAAGCCCAGGTCCTACTGTTGGATCTTCAATCTGTAAATATCCAGTGAGGGGAAGGGCAGGTGTTTTCACACCTAGGATGATGCACATTAAAAAGAGCTGTTGGATTTTACTGATTATAGTTTTATGGTCTCTCGGCAGCTCTGACTTATAATTTAATTTGGCTTAATGGATACACTTTCCTTATAAAAAACTCCCAAAACCCAGTTTTCCTGAAGTACTCCACTCTTGGCCTTTTTGCAAGAACAGACACACCACACACAGACATCCTGCTTAAAGATTCAATCACTCTCTTTTAAATTATCATGCCTAAATAATCAAAACATATTAAGAGTATTGTGTCAACATTATGGAATGGTAAAAGCAACTCTTCCTCAAGAGCTTTCATGGCAGCACCAAATTATTAATTGGGATTAACTGAATTCACCTTTAACTCTTGGAAGTTAAGAATAGCTTGACAGTGTTTAAGACTGGGGGGAAAGGGCCAACAAATTATAGGAAATTATTCACTTTTATGATTTTTTAATGCAGATTAAAAAAAACAACAACAACAACAAAAACTAATATAAGCCAAAACACACAGAAAATGGAGTTGTCAAGCTTACATACCTGAGGAATTGAAGCAGTAGAGATGAAATTTTTTCTCCCTGCCAGCATTCCATTGTACTATTCCAGTTTTTCCCTGACCACATTTCTGGTTGGATATTATCCGAGGAATAACAGCAAATCCATCTTTCACCCATCCATAGCTACAATAAAAAGCATCAGTGCTTTTAGTATGAGATTTATCACCAGCCTCAGCTCTGTGTGAAAGTGTTCACTCAAGGTAGTGAGCCACTAAGTGATGGCACATACTTGCATGTTTCAAAGCCATGTTTCAGAGCCTCTTCAACTTGTTTTTTACTTGCCAGCTGTAGATTTAATTGATTACATCCATTGCTTGCTTCTGAGAAATTCGCTTTCTGATCAAGATAAATTCCTATACCCTTAATCCTGCAAGGTGAATTAATGGAACCTGTAATTAAGCCATAAAATAGTCAAGGTTAGTATTTGAATATTAACATTTATTCCTCTTGAAGAATTTAAGATCAAATGAATTGAACATTTTTTAAAGTTTCTAGCTTGAGGATAGCAGAAAAGTAATTTCTAGCATAAAAGGCATATTTTAAAAAAAGAACGTATTTTTTTAACACAATAATCTGGGATATCAAGAGGTTTGACTGTCATTAGATTAAATGCAAGTACAACCTTTTTCTTTCTTTTCTTTTTTAAAATAAATTACAGCTACCTGTTGCACCAAGGCATTGATTCTGTTACTACACCCATTTTATCAAGACAGTAAAGTATATAAGAGCAAAGGAGTTACACATAATTTTTCAAGGAATTGATATACTGATAAGAAAATAAAAATATTTATCATTTCTGATGTTCCTTATTCCCCCTAAACTCTTTTTTCCTTTTTTTTTTCCTAGCCTGGCCTCATGCTTCCATCCCCTAGCCATTGTCAAGTGTTCCATTTACTGTGTTTGGCAGGGAGCAGGAAAAGAGGAGCTAGGCCAGATGAATTTAACATTTTTCCAGGCAGTTCATGCAGCTTTTTAAATATCCACAGCTGGCACACTCTTTGTGACACCTGCACCAGCAAGTGCATAGCTCAGGTTACACCTGCTCTTCTTTCTCATCTGTGTTCAGGGCATAGGACAAAATTCAGGATTTGGCACAAATAAGGAGAAATGGTATTACTGTTTTGCCTCCATATTTTACTGGGACCATTTACTGGAAAAACAAGATTATTTTGGAGTTACATACAGTAATTGCCCTGTCAAATGAAACATTTCAGCCTTTCATTGCAGACATGTCAGATAACCATCAGCCACAGGTGTCACTTCCCTGCTCAATCAGTTTGTCAGACTGTATTCATTAGGTGTGTACACTAATGAATATTTCATAAAATCTGTGCTAATCTGTGTTTATCTGAGTCCATAAAGTCTCAAGGCAGGATGAAGTGATGCCTCCAAATCCACCCCATGACTTCTCAACAAGACAAGTTAAACTGAATGTTATGAATTCAAAGACAGAACTGGCAGCCAAGCCACTCTTGAGATGAGAAGGGGATAAAAAGTGACTGAACTTATGTGGGGTGCTAAGAAACCAGACAGGCTTTTAGCTCCTGCTCCACTGGATGTGGTGGGGCTGGAAATGGCTTTTGGAAAATGATGCATCTGTGCACATTTTGGAAATTGGAATCTGTGCTGTCCTTACATTTATTTTAGATATTTGGAAGAGGGATCTTTGAATCAGGTGGCTTTATCTCAGCAGAGAGGCAAAGCCACTGAACCCTTGAGCAGACACAGTGGCTGCATCCAGCGCTGGCCTGAGCACAAGCCAAGCCCAGACTTTGCAGGGGGAGGCAGAGGAGCTCTGTTGCTCAATCAAGGTGTGTGTGCTGTAAGCAAGGACTTCAAGTCTACCTTATTTAGGCTATTATTTCCCTATCTTCAGGTTTGAGTCAATACAACTTTTAGAAAATGTAATGTCGAGAAAAGAAGCTTCTCAATGACCAACTTGACAAATTTCAAATAAAGCTGAGCAGCTGACTGAAAGTTTCCCATTTACCAGTTTTTGCTGCACTATATTCTTGAAGCCCTGTGGTTTCCTCTGCCAGAAACACATTTACACACATTCATTCCCCACATTTTTCGTCGTAAATGCAGCTACTTTTTCAAGACTTTAAAAAGCAGAACTTTACATACCTGTTACAAAGTAATTTTGAGCCAGGAATGTCATAACCCAGATGAAAGACACTGCTGAGGTAACTCCAAGATAATTTGCCATTGCCACCAGGTTGGAAAGCTCAGAAAAGCAGGAAATTCAAGGTAGTTTGTCTCCTGTGCTAAGGAAAGTTAAGGTCTGGGATGCTGTCAGATGATGAGATGACTTCTGGAAAGCAGCTGCAGCTGTCCCTGCAGCGCTGCATAGCAGGAGTGTCAGAGCCACGGCGCTGATTGTCCCGCTGCAGGGCGAGGTCAGGACCCACCGGAAATCCCTAATCACCCTTTCCACCCTTTCATCTACGGGTTCCTGGAAAATTTCACTACTGCTGATTCACAAAGCACGGCTGAGGAAAGGAGATAAGGCTGTTAGATTGCTAAGTCAGTAAACACTTCGAAAGAAATTTTTCTTTTGCTATTTTTTCCTGTTTTACTGATGAACAGATCATTATTCGTGTTGTCTATTTATCTGGTAAATAAAACACATCTTCTGTTGTATCACAAGGTTTTTTCTTTTTTATTGGAACTGGAAGAGCATCCATTCCCCATTGTCCTGATGGAGTCTTGATGGAATAGTTTTACTTTTTTTTTTTTCTTTTGAGTTCAAATGCAAAAGTAATTCCCATAATACAGAGGTAATATAAAACCTAATTCTGAAGAGATTTGGAGATTCACTACTGTAAATGAGATTCCTTGTGAGATTATAGGTACAGAGATAGCAGCCAGTGCCATCACTGCTGCCTTCTGTGACATTCCAACAGTGATTCCCATGGATTGATTCAAAACACAGATGATCATCACAGCTACAACTTAGAAAACCTTTAGGAAGTTTTAGCAAAGATTTTTTATTTTTCCAATAAACACAGAGCAGGAATGGAGTTCAAGGGATGGCTAATTCCTTCAGTGTCAGTCATATCTTCTATATCTACATTATTCCTGACAGATGTTTGTCTAACCTGTTCTCAAAGATTTCCAGTGACAGATTCCTAACATTTCCTCTAATGTTCTTGTTCAGTGCCTCACTGCTCTTTACAGTTCAAAGGTATTCCCTGCTCTAACTCAGCCATTCCCTGCTATAAACCCATCACTTCTGGCCATGGACATAGTTTACTCCTTTATGTTTTGCAACCATTTTACATTTTTAAAGAGTTATGCCTCTGCTCCCAGTTTTCTTTCAGCTAAGAAACCCCTGCTGCCTCACTCTCTGGCTCCATGCCAATGCCAAGACTAATTAATAAATTGCTTTACCTGCTTTACAATTTAGAATGGTGTCAGTCTTTATTTTTGCAACAGTATGATTTTCAGCAAACTTTAAATGTGCAGTGTCTCCAGGCTGTTTTCATAATCCTGTAAACATAAGTGAAACAGTGTAAAGCTGCCTCTTTAAACTGTGGTTTGCATTTAGAAAGTCCCCAATTAATAAATGAGATGGCATTAACTTTTGATGGGGCACAGGCACATCTCCTGCAGCACATGTGTAACAGGGCTATTAGATGATGCTCTGTTCACTTTTCTTCACCCACAGGGCCTCAGGAGAATGCTGGGGGTCAGTGAAATCCTGTCTCCATTAGCAATGGTGAAATGAGAATTGGGTTGTGTTTGGGCTGTGGTTTGGAACTGAATTTGGTAAAACTCAATGAGATCTTTAGACAAAGTTCTAGCTCCAATTTCTTTTCCATTCCTTATTGTGCTGTGCTTACCTGCCCCTACAAAGCCATGGCAATGTCAGATTCTGTAATCAGACAGCTCTCACTTGAGGAAGGCTGCAAGAGGATTCACATTTATAAGGTAGAAGCAGAAACTAATTATTAATGATTCTGTAGCTCTCATGGACTATAGACTGTGGCTGTAAAATTCTTAGAACATTAAACAAATTTTTACCGTTGAAAATGCTTACCTTGAACTGCTAAGTATTTCCTGCCATGAAAACTAATGAATAGCTGGGTTTCTGACATTTTAAAATTGCATGCTAATTATCCTGCCAGGTATCAACATTTTGCACCTACTATTCTCACCGTGGCAAAGTTCCTTTAGTCAAACTCTTGATGTTTAGTAGGATTTTTAGCTGTAAAAATGAGATAAATATACCTTTGCAACACCAAACAAAAATATGAGTTCCTTCACAATGTCTTTTGGATTAGGAGAGGGAGAAAAGAATTTTAGAATGACGAAGCAAGACTGAAATAACTTTGTTTTCTGTTTCTTCCTTTTTGTAGTTCAGCTGTTCCAAAACTGCGTGGGAGATGATTTATCTGGACTGTAACAGTACAAAAGGTCTTTACCCTTTTGGTGTGTCTTCTTCATAATCACTATGGCAAAAATAGCAGACCTATACTGAATGATTAATTAGCCTTTGACCTAAATACTTATTGTAACCTATATGAAAAAAATCCCATCCTTTTATATCAGCATGTTTTAAAATACTGATGAGGGTTGCTAAACAGAAAACTTTGGATAAGGCAGAACACACTTAGCTGTTCTCTACAATAATTTCAAAAGGGAACCTTGAAACCTGAACAACAGTAGAGGAAACAAAAAAAAAAATGTTCTTCATGTAGAAAATACAAATACCAGGGTCTTTTTCCTTTCCAGGTTGCTGATGTCCCAGAGTTTGTCTCCTGGCAGAGACCATCAGAGATTCAGAACATGAGGACTGATCCTACCTGCTGCTCAGGTAAGTCTGCTCCCCACAGGACCCAGACTTCCCAGGCCTCCCAATCCACAGGGACACGAAGCAAATAAAGATCCCTGACCTTTTGCCCAGCATCCTCAGATTTCCTTTGTGGCTTCCCCTGTTCAGCCTCCTCCGTGACACGTGGCCCTCTGAAGCAGGAGTTAAACTCTTCCCAGGATATTTCAGCTTCCTCTCTCAGCTGGTTCCTAGGGCATGGCAGGGGTGATTCTGTTTCCAGACTCTCTCTCCATGGACACAGGAGTTTGCTTTCCTCTTCTGTGCCATCTCCCTGAAGAACTGGAAGGCTAAGAGCAACATCCTTGGAATGTGTAACAGGGTAGACAAGGCAGGATTTATTTCATGAGGACACGGCCACCAATATGCAGCCAGAGCATCCCAAATCTTGAAGGTAAAAACACTGAGGACTTTGAAACCATAATTTTATTTCAAAACTCAAGTATGTGATACTATACAGTACAATACCAGCACACTTGTGCAAAATCTTACAGTATTACAAATTTAAATATGATACACAAAAATAGTGCCCTTTTGAAATTCCTTTTGCTAGAAACATTTGTGCTGTGCAGGAGAAACCATAAATGTGTCTTGTTAAAGCAGAAAAATAAATATTGCACCTCAAGAAAACTATTTCAGTGTTAATAGCATAAATAATAGGTCTGTTTCTTGTTATCTGATGTGATCTTTGAACACAGAAGAGGTTGTTTGGCTTTTTTCTTCCAGATAAAGCAAACTAATATCCAACAGATAAAATTATATTTAGAATAGTTTTTGAGCTTAATCTAGTTTCCTATTAAACAAAAGGTGTTTTAATTAAGTAACTGAAAAAATATAAGCATAGCTATTTAGTGTGCTGTTAGTCATTGTGGCTTGTTATTTTTAGTGGACAGTTTGCTCAAAGTAGTTATAAAAAGAACTTTTTTTTTTTTAGTAAACTTTATCTTCATTTTTGCACCCCCATTAAAATCTCTTGCCTCTTTCAGTTCATTTGTGGCTAAATTACACTTGCCTCAGACATGCAAGTAGTTCAGTTCAAATCAGTACAACTTCTTATGGGAATTGTCCCTTTGCACTAATTCCATAAAAAGCCAGTGTGCTGAATTTTAAGAGAGGATGGAGACTTCGTTCACCCACTGACCAAAAAGATCTTTTCACATGCTTAGCACTAAGAAATTAGAGAGTCCTCTTGATATCAGTAACTTTATATGTGTAATTAAAATAAGTTGTTGGACTTACAACAGTGCAGGCGTAAATTAAAAAAAAAAAGTTAATTCAATTACAGGCACTGTTAATTATTTTTCTTCAGTGCAGCCCAACATTTCCACGATCACATAAATATGTGCCATAATTTTTGGCATAGAGATATCTGAATATTTAGGACTTCAATCTTTATTGTCTTAAGAAGTTATCAATCTTACTTGTGAAGGATATTAAGTTAAAGAAGCTTATTTTAATAAAGTATTCAAGAAAAAAATGACAAGTTTCTTCAAACACTGAAAGTACATGAAAGGTCACAGTAGTTCTTCACAGTCAGAAATTCTAACTGAACCAAACAGATTCCAAGTAATTTGCAAGAAACCTCCTCCTGTCTTATTCTTTCCCAATTGCAATTTTAGACCAAGTCACACTTTCCCATTATCCTTTTGGAACTTCCTTAAGCACACTATTCCTCAATATATACTTTAAAATAATAAAACGCCTCCTGATTGCTCATAGGCTCCCTTCCCCACCCACCTCTCCCCCCCCAAAAAGGTGGTAGTGGTCTGATTTTTATTTTATTTTATTTTTTTTCTTTCCCTACATAAATGTCTCCTAAGAAACACATGGCCAACAAAAATTCACCAGCAGGGTATTTGTTACTAGTATGTGAACTAAATTTCTGACTGAGTTAGAAACCTGTTTTCTTTAAGAGTTAGCTTAAGGTTCAGTGTTTCCACCAAGAGAAGACAGGACAATATTAACTACATCAGAACTGAAATTACAGTACTTCATACCACTCTTATCCTGTTGGAAAACAGACCCATTTCTCAATCAGAAAATGCCAGGAGAATGCAGGGCAGGAGTGCAATCGAGTGTCACACTGGCTTTGCTGTTGTGGCTGTAGCTATGGAAAGACAAACACGGTTCACCTTCACCCAGGAGTGATGCTCAGCAGGTGCACAGGGCACACCTCCAGTGGAACACATTTTGGTCTCAGCCCGAGGTGCTGGGTGTGGTACAGGTGATGGCTTCACCCTTTTCAAATTTCTTGTCCAAAAATTTCAGCTTTCACATTCTTGTGTAAGAACTCACAACTCCCACATAGGCAGAACTGGCAGAAAATCTGGGCAACAGATTATTCTATCCTGATGTGGCAGTTCAGCTTTGGAAGTGTACCAGATCAATTTTGGTTTTGGCATCAGATTCTGAGAATGGGCTACTGAAAACACACAGTGAGCTCTCCTAAGCCCTCCCTGCTGCCGTGGCCTGATCCATGTAGGCACTGGCTGCTCTCAGAACTCTGCTCCTGCTGCACATCTCAAAGAATTCCTATTTCCAGCAGAGTCCACTTGGTGTGGTCATCTCTAAACAGAGGTTTGAAGAGCTTTTGTTTTCTTTCTCAATAAAGAATTGAAGATTCCCATGTCCAAGACTGCTGTGTTTTGGGCTAGGGTGGCACATGGACCCTTCCAGGCAGTTACCACTTTTGGCTGTGACCAGTACTGACTCTGAGTGCCATATGTAAATTTTTGGAAACTTTTTATACATCAGAAGTTCCCAGACTTATTGGATGATATCAGCTGTCCCACCTAGACCCCATTTTAGGTTCTGCTGAGTATCTCATTTGTTAAAGAGTGGTGGTCCCATTCTTAAAGTATATCATAAAACACATTTATGCATGTACTTAGCATTCCATTTAAATAATCATATAGATAACTCCTCTTATAAAATTACTTTAGCAGCAAGGCATTTGGTCTTAGAATATAATTATATTCTTCCATGGAAGTGTTTCTATTTCTACCCAATAGTCATGAATAAGGAAATTAATTAGCCTCTTAAAACCCAAAGGACTTAAATGCAATTAGTGCTCCAACGGTCAACAATAAATTCAGGAAATGCAAAGTGAAGCACTAACTGCAAATGTGGGTTTTCTGATGGTCTTCAAAATATCAATGTCCTGTGCAAATCATTCTTTTAAATGTCTTGCAGGTTGCTGATTACTGCCAAGACCTTACCATGATTCAATACTTCTTTATTTGTACAAGTCCTTTACAATAAGAGGACAGACAGGATTATTTATCAGCTCGGCATCTTGGCAAGGAACGCTCACCACGTATCCCAAACCTGGTGGTGTGGAGTAACTCACTTGCTTAGGGGATCATGTGGAACAGCCACAGGGATGACTAAAGCACAACCTTTAACAACGGTGCTCAATTGCACAGCCTTGCTCAGGGCCCCAAGGGAGCGCTCGCTCCTCTGTTATTCCGCGCGTTGCTCCTGCCGGAATCCCGAGTTCCACCAGGAATACTGATGGGCTGCAGAGCAGCTGGCCTTGCCT